CCACATTACTTTTCATACCGTCTTCGCTGATGAACACCGCTGCTTGAGGGTTGAACACACCCACACCAGCAGTATTAGGGAGAAGGTGCCTGTAAACATCTCTGTACCCTCGGCAATTCCATCATTCACAGTGTCCACTGTGACGGTCTTTTTGAATTCTCCAGGATTGAAGATTACTTGTACACCGTCAGATTAGTGGTAGATAATCCTCAATGGCTGAAAAAAGCATTTCGTAGTACATAGAGAATGGTCATTTTGCAAGTAGACAGACAGACCTATTGCGGATCCATCATTGACGACTTACGGTCACGACAACGGGTGTTTCTGCATCTCCGACTCTGACTAGCATCAGCTCGGCAGGGTTGCCTTCGAGGACCGTGTAGTTGGTCGGGTCAAACCCAACCGACACCTCTGAATTGAGGAAAGCATACGTACACCAGTTTGAAAACCCACTTGTAACCAAAAATAGGCTTTTTTGTTTGGCTAAGGTACACCATATTTCCCATTCCTAGGGTTGTTCCTTTAAAAAGGTAGGTAAAATAAATGTTTTGGCACTAATCAGTAATCGTAGCATATAATTATGTAACAGACCTTACGGCATCGTAAGTATTGGACTCACCATCATTTTCAGTGATGGTGACCATGGAGGGAGTTCCACCAATGAAAATGGTGAAAGCCTCGTCTCCCTCCAGAGCAATGTCGTCATTCACAATGAGGTCAGTGAAGTCGATACACGTTCTAGTCCCTGGCACAGGTATTGTGATCGTTGTTCCACTTGTGTAGTCATCCACTGGAAGTGATACATGGCATGAAATTATAGTTCATAGCATACCAGCCATAGGCATGTAACTCGAGCCTTGTGATGCCAAGAGAAAAGATAAACAATTTTGGACTTGTTACCGTATCCCCTAGCACTCTTTCCTATGTGGAGCATACCACGCATACAGCTCTCAGCTCAAGCATAATATAGCATGCACTATCTTTCTCAGGCATCAGGGTTTTCAACAGTAAACCCTTATACCTTCAGCCTGGGGAGGGTTCTTCTGGGCAGTAGTGATGGTGTAGATGATTGGTTCAGTAATCTCCACACCAATGTCAACACACAGTGGGACACTGCCTGGATCATCCTCTGGTACAATATACATGGTCAACTCAAACGCTGGAGCTGGTACTGGAGATCGAAAAAAAGAGCAAAATGTAACATTCTCCATTCTTTATTCTACTGTGTGTCAAGGACAACTCCAGGACAACTTACTATCTTCCTCAGTTATCAGAATACGTGCTTCGTCTGGTCTGACCATGACGTCTGCATCATTAGTCACCAACTCCAGGTTGGATAGGAATTCTTCCACTAACGACTCATACACCATGTCATTGGTGATGGGAATCCCCACCATCAACTGTGCCGTGCCGGGTCCAAATGTGAGCAGTGAAGTGGTTGTACTGTAATCATCTGGATCTGTATTGGGGCAACATGTTTCAGATATGCATAGTATAAGAAAGCTAAAGATCAAAGTTACAGTACGAGTGTGCAAATGCACATGCAACCAACAACTCATGCGAATACACTTGGGGTCTAGTCTATCATGACTGTCCCTTTGGCTTTGTAGCTTTTTTCATGCACTCGGATTGACAAATGGAAACTTCTGAGCTTTAGGGCATAATTGATTGTACCATTGTGCAGTAATACGTTATGAACTTACTCGTGGCACTGCCGTCTTGTGTGGTCAATCTCACGACCACGTTGTCTGATAGTTCACCAGACAATACAGCAACAGACACAACCGCTATTCCGTCACTCTCACTGACACTATATATGGTGTTCACAAACCCAATAGTAGCACCTACGTTAGAAGAAACACAGCATTACGGACAATGCAGCGTAGTGGTTGAAAAGCTTACGGTCATTATCAAAGATAGTCACGTCAGCACTACTGCGGTCGGGATCGACTATGACATTAGGTCGGTCCGACATCAGCGTCCCAGTGAAAATTTCATCGTCCTCTAGAGTGACGTCATCTTCTATGGGGACCGTCACGGTCTTACTAGTCTCCCCAGGTCCAAAGAACACAGTCTCAATGACAGGAGTGTAGTCCACACCAGCTACAATTTGAATCACTCTATCAACAAAAGGCCACGTCGTGGACAAACAGGCACTCACATTCGGCAGATCCGGGTACCGTCATAAACGTTACGTTGGCCGTCAGATTCACGTTTCCAGTTCTAAAGATGGTCAGTGTTGCAGAGGTGTCGACTCCTTCAGTCACGAAATACACAGTTGGATCAAAACCAACATCTGTGTAGAATAGAGACAATTCAGAAATAAACTCAGTATCAAATGGCATAATATAGCATGTCACTCACTAATGTCGTTGTCAATGATGGTAACCACGGGATTCGGAATCATGTCCTGTCTGTCTGCTGGTATGTCCTCGGACGAGAAGCTGACAACCAGTGGTTCATCTGTCTCAGTCAGTTGATCGTCAGTGATTGAGATCTCGATTGATCGCTGTCTCACTCCTCTCGGAGTGAAGACAACTCTGCCTCCACTTCGTCCAAAATCCTCACCCTCTGTAGTACACAATATCTACCAATTTGGTTCAATTACTATTTGTATCAATGTACCGTTAGCACCATTTGGTACTTCTCCTGTGCTGTAGTCCAACACAAAGTCGTTTTCAATCTCGTTCAATAGACGCACATTCACAACAGCTGTGCCTCCATCTTCGTTGATAGTAACATCACCAGATTCAATCAGTGGAACTGTAGATGGAGAACAAATCAACTAAATGAGAAATAATGATTAACTGAGAACTCACTGTCATCATCAATGATGATCACCATTGCTGTGGAGTTGCCCACACATATGTTGAAGCTCTGATTTCCCTCAAGAGCAATGTCGTCATCCACAACAAGATTAGTGAAATCAATACAGGCCACAGAACTGGGAGGAGTCACAGTGATAGTTGTACTGGGAAAGAAATCAGCCTCTGTACCAAGGAAATAGAGCACTCAGATCAAGTTAGACATTTTACCAGTGGACTACTAACCTTGAGCATCAGGAGGGTCTTTGCTCTTGGAAGTGATGGTAAACTCCATTGGTCCTGGGAGCTCCACACCAATATCAATACACAGAGGAACTGTACGATTGTTCTCAGGAACAGTGTACATTGTCTGATCAAACTCTGGCTCTGGAACTGCATTAGAAGTAAGATAGCTTAACCTCATACAAAAAAAAGTGCTCACCATCATTGTCCAAAATGGTGATTCCCGCAAAGCGATTTCCAAGCACAACGATTGGATCGGTAGTCGACAATGTCGCACTAAACTCTTCTGTTTCTTCCACAACGACATCATCAACAATAGGAACTTGGGCTGTGGCCTCCGTATCACCGGGTTCAAATACCACAGTGATTGGGGTGGATATGTAATCATTTCCAGCTATAACAAAACAGGAGATTAGTCAATTTTCTTTTCTCAAAGACAACAAGTCAGCTATACCAATGGCTGTGCCTGGTCCAGGGGTAATAGTGACAACAGTCTCTCCAGCAGTGTCGCCACTTCTGACCAGTCTCAGCTCAGCAAAGCCATCTCCCTCAGTCACAGTGTAGGATGTTGGATCAATTGATACAGACACTGCAGCGGTATTGTAGATACACACTTCAAGACACATCTTCACCACAAACTTCAAATAATCATGCAATCATGTAGTTAATGGTGTTCTTTGCCTTTGACTTTCTACCATGCAATACAATACACATAGCTGCCAGAACTTGAATTCAAGTTTGGTAGTTTTAGTATAATTATACGAACAGTCTATCAAACAATATCTGCAGCAGGTAGTACTTGGCTTTGGTGATACTTTCGTGTTGCTTACCAGTAGGATCCTCACCTTCAATACTCTGACACACTGGTGGTGGATTATCCCATGTCCCGTCATCCTGACAATTTAGAACCGGGACTCCAACCAATTCAAACCGACCGTTGCACATGTACGTGGCTGTATCTCCTGCTGAGTTTCCAGACAATGTGACTACACCATTGGTAGGGTTAGCAAGATCTGGACAGAGCGCTGTTAGAATAGAGTTAGAATAGAGAGAATACATTGTGTTGATAAAGATTGAAAAATTTAAACTCACGTCTACAAACTGGCGGACTGTCATCCCATGTTCCATCACTCTGGCAGTTGAGGACTTCAGATCCAACCAACTCGTATCCATCACTGCAGGTGTAGGTAGCAGTGTCGTCCTCTGAATTTCCAGACTGTGTCACCGTACCATTGGCAGGATCACTCAGATCAGGACACAGAGCTGTTAAAATAGGGAGAAAACAGCGGATATACCAAGAACACGGTGCTCGGGGGAAGAACTCACGTCTACAGACTGGAGGACTGTCATCCCATGTTCCATCACTCTGGCAGTTGAGGACTTCAGATCCAACCAACTCGTATCCATCACTGCAGGTGTAGGTAGCAGTGTCGTCCTCTGAATTTCCAGACTGTGTCACCGTACCATTGGCAGGATCACTCAGATCAGGACACAGAGCTGTTAAGGGTGGGAAAAGTAAAAAAGTAAAAGTAAAAAACACAAAAGTAAAAAACAAAAGTATAGAGGAAAGTGTAAAGACTCACGTGTGCAAGTAGGTGGAGGGTTATCCCATGTCCCATCGCCCTGACAGTTCAGAACTGGAGCTCCAACTAGTTCATATCCCTCATCACAGACGTAAGTAGCATTGTACCCTGCTGAGTTTCCAAACTGTGTCACCGTTCCATTGGCAGGATCACTCAGATCAGGACACAGAGCTGTTAGAATGGAGAGAAACCTACTGGATATACCAAGAACACGGTGCTCGGGGGAAGAACTCACGTCTACAGACTGGAGGACTATTATCCACAACCCACTGCTCTGACAGTTCAGAACTGGAGCTCCAACCAAGTCGTATCCATCATTGCAGGTGTAGGTAGCAGTGTCTCCAATGGAGGTCCCAGTGAGATTCACCATTCCATTGACAGGGTTACCAAGAGTAGGACAAACGCCTGCAGATAGATACAGTGAAGTACACATTGTGCTAGTCACTGTGTAAGGCGAGGCGCAACTTACGTCTACAAGTCGGAGGTACGTCGGTCCACTCTCCGTCAGTGCCGCAGGTTCGAACCCGTGTTCCAATCAACTCGTACCCCGAGTTGCAGGTGTAAGTTGCTGTATCTGATGGTGCCAAACCTGTTGTCACTACCTCGCCATTCTCTGGATCATCAAGAATGTCACACCCGCCAACTGAAAGAAGATTAACACTAAATCATGAACTCTTCATAACATACAAGAAGACAATGGAGGAAATGAAGCACGGTTCTTACCTCCACAGATGGTCACGGTAACTCTGGGTGTCACGACAATAGCAGTTCTGACAGAAGTAACGTCGATATAGAAAATTTCGGGAGGTTCGTCAACACTGTCGCTGGCAACTTGGACATCAAACGATATCACTGTATCCTGTCTGTCCCCTCCTCTGTAGTTCAGAACATTGTCGGCAAAGAAGCTTGGTCGGTTCTCAGGTATGTCGAGTGTAGTGTAGTCGGCTGGGGCTAAAAGGTGTGTGAAAACATTTCCAAACGATGACATCCAGTATTAAACTTCAAACCTGTGGCAGAACCATCTGCAGTGTCGACTCGAATCCTGCTCTGTTCCGATCGGTCCAGAGATCTGGTACAGGTGACAGTGACTAAACTTCCTTCCACCACACAGTCGGCAGGCACAGTACAACTGATGATTGTACCTGCACAAATGCACCAACTTCAACACTGCACTACAAACACACCACCAATGCTGTACAAATGCCTACTGTACCCAAATATGCAATATAAACTCACCAGCAATTGGTTGGAGTTCCATTCCACCAGCTATGGCATAGGAATTTTGAATGCTGAAGCCATAGGTGTGAACAAAAATGGCCGCATTGGCATCAGCATGGAAGAGAGAATGGTACTGATTGTCAAAGTCCTTTGTAATGCCATATCCACATATCTCTCCAGTGCTACAGTAGATGGCTTGCCACAGAGTAGCATCAAGCTCCAATGTGGCATCGTCCAACATAATTCTGTCCGTTTGAAAGTATCTCACTGGAACAGAAACACTGAAGAAATGATTGGCAATAGGTCCAGATGAAATGTTGACTGGAACAAGATGGTAAAGGTGGAGATACTGAACTATTGGAGGAATGACACTCATGAAGGGGTCTCCAAACTCTCCTCCATTGCATGTTGCATCACTTGTGTAACCATAGCTGTACTGAGCTAGTACGACAGGATTGGAGGATTCCAAGCAGCAATATTGTTCGACGTGTGAAGGGCCACAACTTACTGAGTGAGTGACAAACTGTCCCCAGTTAGAACCTTGAGCAGAACTCAGAGTTTCTGTATACTCTACTGTTGCAGTACTGCTTCCAGCATCCACACATGTGATGGTAACGTCAGTGTTGTCCTGGAGGGTTGCAAAACGATACAAGTCTCCACTTCGTCTTCCACTAAGAGGGTTAAGCAGGAACGTGTAGCCCCATGTTGTGTGTGGAGGTATCTGAGCTGCATTGTGGTCACATGCTGTGACTCTCTCAGTAACTTGTCCACACTGATGACCAGAAATTACTACCAATGGCTTGTTTCCCTGTACCACAGTCCCAGTAAGGTCTTGATTGGTAATTGAGATCAAGAGCGTCTGTTGTGCAGGTATTAGGTTGTTGTTTGTGTTGACTCGCCAGTTTGATGATGCTTCTGTTTCTCCTGGACCAAATCGTGTGTCTTCAAAGGCACCACTTCCACTGATTGCAGTTGATGGGGCTATTTCAACCTCCGTGTCATCATCACAAGTAATGACAAGAAACTGACTAGATCTGGGTCTGCTTCCTGACGTGTCTGTCGTGTCTTGATTAGTGGAGAGAATGAGATATTCATATGTGCGAAAATCTGATGGTACAGTCATTCCATCGCATGGGAGAGCAACAAATCCGTCAGTAGAGCGAAATTCATCGTTGACAACTTTGATGGCTATCTTCTTGTTGTTACTAGTTTGCACCAAAATAGCTCTATCCCTCGACTGAATATTTGTCACATAGACGTCATCAGCTGGAAAGTTGACTCGTGTCAGTGCAGTTGAATCCACTGTATATGTGCTGGAGCTTTGCACACCACCAAACATGGTTGTCACCTCAAACTCCACCACTCCAGTCTCACTGGTCGTCACCAGTAGGTATGCATCAGGTACAGGTCTTACTGCATCTCGTGGAATTATGTTTTGCATGAAACCCACAAGAAATTTCGTCCCATAAGAACCGAGATTGGTCGGATCTGCAAAAAGAATACTAGTGTGTCAAGAGTGCAATTATACTGTAGTTACAGAAAGAACTGAAGGCTCGCCGCTAAAGAAATGCTTTGCATGCGCTAACTGCATGCGTGACTTCACGTGCAGGGCTTCACTGCCGTCACAAGCGGCGTAAACTTACCCGCGGGAAGAAATGGCAGCTCGAAATCGTTGATGCTGGCCTCTACTATCACCGCTGCGGCCATCACCACGACCACCAGGGCTGACACTCCCAGTCGACCCATCTTCTTTAGCTGCTGAGAGCTGGGTATGCACTGTCAGGCGCGTGGCCCGGCCTTTTATACTGGCGCCCACGCGGCCGGGCGCGCGCCGCGCAGGGAGCAAGATGTGTGACTTCCGTGTCCAAAGCACAGTATCCTGCAACGAGTCCAAGCCATGCAAGATATCTCAGCGGGTATTATGGAGGGCTCCAAACATTCTACAACTGTCATTGGTACTCTGAATAATTATTCTGCGTGAGAATTTTCTGTTCATGTGCATGTGCTGGAAGAAACATCTGGCAGTTATCTTTAACGGTGACCAAAGATTGAGTGAGAGAATGAAGCACACTGTTTAATTCATAAGACATTAGAGTACGCATGAAGTGCATTGAACAGATACAGATACAGACCAAATATCACAGTGTTCTGTACATGATAAGGCCAGTCAGTTGAGCCTCGAGTCCCTCCACATCTCCCCCATTCTCCTGTACGATACTGACCAAGTCACGCAGGCGCTCCCTAACACCACTCACATCACCGACCCTGGACGACCTCCACATCGAGGGACCTAGAGAGTCTGACTCCATCTGTTTCCCTTCAGGAGAACCGACTGCCATAGTCCTAACTCCCTCTTCAACTGTGCTGACTTTCTCGGGTGCACTCTGTCCAGTTAACATTCTATCGGGTGAAGCACCGTCTTCACCGACCAACAAAGTATGACTTCCGTTGGAATTACTACTACAGAAGAGATTCCTACAGTCTACCCCACTTCTTGGGCATCCCGTCGTTCCCACCACAATATCATTGATGTCTTCCTGCAACGGTATGCACACCAGGTCGCAGAAGACCCTCTGAAGGGCTTGAAGAGTCTCCAGCTTCATATCCTCGTTTCTAGCTGCCACGTTTGTCACAAGAACACCTGGAAGGGGGCAAAACGCACACTACGTATAACAATTGCAGGTGTAAAATTTGTAGAGCTAACAAAATTGGCTCCTCCTACAAATCTTTACCAGCACAAGACCAAATAAACTCAAGAATCAGAAGAGTATGGAGGTCATGGTATATACCCACAATCAGCCCCTGTGTAATCTCAATTGGGCAATGCATTTCCCAGCATTATCCATGATATAAACTGCGTCTCAGACTAACACACATTTCCTCCGTTGACCGACCTCCGTCCGCGAGCAGACTCTTTGCTGCAGTCAGGAAGGACGCCTCCACAAAAGCCAGTGGTGGACTGCTCATGCCTACACTCACGTCCTTGGAGTCTACGTCAAGAATTATAGCCGAGTATCGCCCTGTGGGAGAATGGGAGGGAGACACCCATCAAACGATAAGTCTGGATGCCTATTTTGCATTCAAAAGCTGTGAATCTGCATGGCCTGTCAGACAGCGTGTTTGGCATGAACTCCACCAGCATAGGATGTGCATATGGAGACTGGTAGGTGTGGGTTAGCAAGTTGTGACTGGGAGGTGCGGCGAGTAATGTTGTGACTGTAGGTGATATGCAAGATGCACAAGATGCATTTTAGGACTCTTGTATATTACCAGCCCAGACTATTACACCAATCAACAAAGGTCTGTCGGTCAATTTGCATGGCAGTACATTAATGCTCTTCTAAATCTGCTAAGAGCCCGAATTCAGCGTCTCTTACACTGACGTTTCTTTTTCTTTTCGTTGAGGCTGGCGGCAATATTTTTCACAAACGACACGCCGTCCTCTACGTGGAGATTGACTCCTCCTCCTCCTCCACCGGTGCTGCCTCTCTCAAATCTGAACCATTTCTCGGCCACGTCAACCAGCTCTGGATCCAGCTCACACACATCCAGACTCACCTGTCGACAGTATGAATAGATGCGAATGAAGCGCAAATGGGTAGTATAATTATTACGGGTAGTTTTTTCCAGCTACATAGACTACAACCTTTTGTGACTGTTATGTGAAATGACAAAGGAACGATCGCTTGGTGGCCTGCTGTGCACACCTCTGTCGAATCTGGACACGCTTAGTGAAAAAATCAGTGCTTCAACTGTTTCCGGTAAGGAGATAGCGGGCTTACTGAAGAAGCAACTAAATATCACCATAAGAAAGGAATGCAATTTAGTCTTATTGGCGAGCTAGCAAAAGAAACATATTACACTAGACTAAAAGGGCCACTTGTTGAGTTTTCCAGTACTATGTAGGATCTCTATGAGGCTAATGTTGCATATCTATGCCATTGGCATAAGAATGTGTCGATAGCCTTACTCGACCATTTACTATAAAGGCCCTGGTTATTAATTACTTTAGGCAGCCTCCTTAATCTTGGAAGAAGTCCACAAATATATACATTAGCCGGTTCTTTTACCCACTAACACCAGCAAAGACCTCCGCTATGCGACAGAGGACATGTCTATAGTACCACACTTAGAAATGGACACCTTTGGCTAGTCTCACACCCCACATTAACATCAAGCAAAGGCCAAAATCCTGCATAAGATCGTGTTTCGTTCACCGCCCACCAAACCAGAGTACAGCAAATCTCAGACATTCCACGTTGGCCCTAGCCAAGTTCTCAGGTGCTTCTGTATCCAAGTAACTGTAACCACTAAATTCTAGGCCAGCTATGATTGCATATACTTCACACAGTAAATTGGGGACAGACACATTCACTCGCCATAGAAACGGCCTTACTTGTGGTAAGTATCGCTGAATGAAAGTTGGCAGTGCACCTCCACCTAAACCAATGATGAGCACCCTCCCCCTCACCCCTCTCCCTCCTCCTCTCACCCCTCCTCCTCCTCTATCACTACCTCTGGAGCAGACTATGGCCGGAGTGAGACAGAGAGAACCAAGCATGGCCCGGTGGTGGGTGAAACAGAGGTGAGACGGATCAGGGGAAAGTGGGGGAGGAACAGAGGAGGCCTTTTTCGACTTCTTTTTCCGCTTCTTCTGGAAGGATTTAGCTGTGAGGGAAAGCCACAGGCAGTATATACTTATCTCTAAGGCAAATAAATAAGCAGATCTGTGTTGGAAAACAAAAGTAACTGAGAATGCTACATAGAAAACCTTTCTCAGATTTCTTGCTGTACAATGGTCCCCAACCACATAATTTTAGCCACAAACTCCAAAATTTGTAAAAAATATCTCCCAAGTTTCACATGGCAGGTAGAAAAAGTGGGTGTAGCAATCAGTAAAGATAACAGTCCAAGCAGATGTCAACCTGCCACAACAAAGGTGAGGGAATAACAGAGTGACATTGGAAACCAAGATCTGATTACATCTGTTACTAGAAAACTGTCAAAACTTCTGCAGCCTCAGGCAGCCCTTGGCATGCATGGAATTTCATCACAGTTACCTGCGGCTTTTACTTATCGCCACACCATGCTTATGAAAAGAGAGCTAATCACTGATTTGGCTTAATCTGTAGGCAAGCTAGGCTCTGTGGAACAGGTTTGCCCCACACACACACACACACACATCTTTCAGTGCTTTCCTGTGTTTTGAAGTTGTGCCAACCTCACTAACAAGAAGGTGTAGACAAACACACATACACACAAAATGTAAACAAAACCACCAATGTATAGCAAGAAGCAGGTACGACTAATATTTCTGAAATAGTAGATATGTTACCACTGAATTCGCAGAGAAAATGCTTACATATTGCATAAAATTCCAAAAAAAGCCCCACATACTGTGTATTAAGTGTACCAGGCCTGAGTCTCATTTCAGTCTGGACCAGATGTGAGGTCTTGACAAAGACGAGTCGTCTTACCCTCTTCCCCTCCTCCTCCTCCTCTTCCCCCTCCACCCCTCCTCCCCCTCCACACTCTTCCACCCTCCACTGACCACTCACTGAGGACACACCCTCACACAGACACACCCTTCTCCAACACCCTCCCCAGTAGACAGAATTGGCAACTGAAAGAAGACACAGGGGGGAAAATCTCACAGCAAAACCCTCAAATTTTATAAAATTTTACAGGAAGAATGTATCAGCCACAAAAAATTTGTGAATGTTTTGGAGACAAAGGGCATATATATACCATTTCTGCAATCCATATTTTTGTCACTTTGACAGCAACAGCAACATATTAGGCATGTATATACATAGAATGTTTCTGGGGCAGTGGGAGAGGGTGTAAAGATATGGAAGAGTGTGGGCTGAGAGAGATTTATTCTAACAGCTGCAGCAGGAGAGACAGATGGTCCTAGCCTCTCCTCCCACCAAAAGAAAACTGTTGATTTTGACCCACCATTCCACAGCTGTTCCACTACACCCACAAGTCAGGGAGATAGAAGCCACGTACAGTAACATGTAGATTTGCAGGTAACACTTCTTGGCGAGCAAAGCGAGCATTTCGTGTGTTTTAGTGCTTATATTTAGAATCACGTAAACACAACCACGGTATGTTGGTCCGTTCACCCATTGAGCGTTGACGTTAGCTAGCAGAACTTCTTTCGCACGGGCGCACGTGACGGTCTGGGCACGAGACTGGATACCGTACTTGCCAAATCCCAGTGTGAGGGGAAGCGCCTATTTATTAGTGTAATTATTGTTTACATGCAAACACATCTGCACGACATTTGTAGTGCATGCTCTAGCTCATTAGATACTGCAGGTGTAAGGCTACCTAATGGCTGCTATATACCATGCCACAATGAAAAGCCTATACTATTGATTGAGAATCTACTTGACATCCCATACACTACTTCCGTGCCAAAGACTCATGGTTTTAATAGTACAAAGGATTTATCTTTTCTGCTGCAACTCTTTTCAGATGCAAGCTTGCAATCCCAGTCAAAAAATATCATCAACTGTCCTTAGGGCCGCCCCTCTATAAAAAAAAAACCCACATACATGGTTTCTTCCGTACCTTTATATTGGAGGGGACCCCAGACTGCAGCATGGCTAGAGCACTTCCAGTCACCTCGTGTTTGACCTGGTGCAGGTCTCCATACTGGTGGCCCAAGTGCATAGTGACTACCACCAGTCGGTGATAGCACGACTGCTCAGCCAGGCCTTTTAGCCCAGAGTCACTGCTGAAAATCCATTCCCCTTCCCTTGAAACAGGGGGGGTGAGGGAAGAAGGGGGGGAGGGAAGGAGAGAGAAAGAGAGAGATATGGCAGAGAAAAGGAAGCGGAGAGAGAGAGAGAGAGAGAGAGGAGAGAGAAACTAAACCTGACTTCAACACTGCCCCTCCTACCTTCCTTGTGGCACAATAAAGATGGCAAACAGCCCGTTCTTTGCCTTTGACTTTGGGACATCGACGACGATAAAGGTGTAGCGCGGGACATCGGGGACCTTCTCAGACCAATACTGGACTCTAATACCTGTCTCCTCCGGGTGTACGCTGCAGAGAGGGAGAGAGAGAGACAGGTGGGAGAGAGAGAGACAGGTGAGAGAGAGAGACAGGTGAGAGAGAGAGACAGGTGAGGGAGAGAGACAGGTGAGAGAGAGAGAGACAGGTGAGAGAGAGAGACAGGTGAGAGAGAGAGAGAGACAGGTGAGGGAGAGAGACAGGTGAGAGAGAGAGACAGGTGAGAGAAAACCACAGTTTATCCCGTGCTTTACCTCACTCGTAACAAGTGTATGCCACTTAAACAAGACCTCTACCGAATGTGTTGAATTTAAAAGTAAACTCTGTATGATTTTGCCCATAACTGTGGCCATGCTGATCCTTTAGGGGCACAACGATGTACTTCCTGTCTTAGCAGCAGATGTTAGAAACAACATGGGGCATACAAAGTGAAGTTGCCAAAAAAAGAGCTTGCTGAGACCAATGATATTACGGAAGAGTCCTTTATTCAGAGGTTAAAACACTAAACTATTAGCACGTATCAAGGCTAGCGTCTCTTATATAGAGAGGTGTGCCCTTTATTCTGAGTCAACATCATAAGAGAGAGAGGTTCCACTACACCATAATAATATTATAGTACAAGTGTCAGGTGATCGGTATTGATGCCACTAGCATATTATACACAGCATTCTCTAGCAGAGATGTATATGTGGAGACAGTTGGTCATAATGTGATGAGAGCTTTGCAACTTAGAGTGGCACGCATTTTTGGCAGAAAAAGCATCGCCTTCCATTAGCACGTTCTGCCAAGGAATTCCAATCGCGGCCAATGGAATTGCACACGAAAAGACACACCAAATGTGCCGCTGTAGATGAATGGACCACATTTTAACTTTAAGACACATGCAGACACAATGCATAGAAAATAGTGCATGTACATGGAAACCATGGGAACCATAGGAAAACACTTTGGCATGCATGGTGGCTGTACTTTCACTCTTTATCCACAGATTCAATTTTTGCAAACGAAAACGCCATATATTCCACCGCTGTATTGTAACAAGCTAACAGATAGGAGTCACAACCTAATATCACAGTATTAAAAACTCCCTATCATAGCCCCATGCCCATCCCTATATACTAAGTACTACCGTAGTACTCAGTGATTACTGGGGCACAAACAAACGTTCTAGATGTGGGAGCTTGAGAAAGGTACATCTGATGTTGCTACTAATCATGTCCCGATGTTCATTACATCGGTGGGCTTGATACCTAGGAACATGGAGATGTACACAGAAATCATACAGAACACACAGCTGTGCTTCCTTCCAATCTCCACACATTACGTTACTTAGCACACACATGCATGTGCAAAGGGCTATGTGATTGGTCTGTATGTCTCTCTCGTCATCCTCGGCACGAAAATCGCCAGAGCTTGAGATTTAGCCATCTTCTGTGTGAGCTGTATAGCTGTGATGCACTTGTCATCCCATCTGCTTCACAAACGACCCATGTACTGCATTCCTCCATATTACACCCCTCAACTAGTGCATTCCTGAGCGCCTACACCACTAGAGTATTATACCTCAGATGTCATTAGTCAACAGGAAACGATAATTACAGTGCTCCTGTTGCTAGGATAATGAAACTCTGTTCCTTGGAATGCCAATTTGTGGAAATTTAGCAAAGGCAAAGCAAGTCATGTATAAAATATTCCTTGCTTGAAGTTTGTCTAAGCCCATTGTTAATGGTAGAGACATGGTTTAAAAATCAATTCAGACTGCTCCCAGCAAAGGTTAATATCCACTTTTTACAAATGGTCAGAATAAGCAATGCATGTGCCTTGAAAAAAGGTTTCGAGTAATGTGATAGCAAGCCCTGGGAAATAAGTCTGTAAGTACTCCTGGAAATGACTTTAAAAATGCTACAATGGCTTGAGAAATGAGTCTGAAGAGCCCTGAAAATGATGACTTACCCTTACTAAGTCGGAGTATCAACCAAATGCAAAGACTGGGCCACTAGCAGTACAATGGCACCTCCAAATCTCAAGCTCCATAGCTGAACACTGAATTCCTCCTCTATAAACTTGAGTGTGGGGCTCTCAAATTTCAGTTCTATTCTAAAATACTGATTCTGTGGAAATGATAGGGTAGTAGTACTATAAGTGTCCTTAGTTTAAAGTGCCTAAGCTTCAGCAAAACTCTAAAAATGAACCCCTTCTTCAAAGGCCAATTACACCCTTGCTACAGGTCTTCATTACACAGGTATTCATTATATACACCCCCAGACCATGGGTTTGGCTAGCCACAGATATGTGCAGGGTGCCCTGGGGAACCCAGATAAAAACTCTGTAGTGACCCCTCCTTCCCACATGGGCATGTTTATTACTGGACATCAGATCAAAGACCCAGGCCTCTGCAAACTGCACCAGCTGTCCACTGATGCCTACACCATTCCACGGGCAACCACTGCCTGTTTACATTATACTGTCTGAAACTTGCAAGAGACCGTTCAGTGGAAGAGGGCTGTAGCTAAGATAAACACATGGCTGATATTTGGTGTAGTGGATGGCCACAATGTTGTCCATCCCATGGTCTTGAAAGATTGGCTCTTGGCTTCATATTATCCAACAGTCAGTTATTTCAAGTATTGGCTAAAGTGTCTGACTGTGGTTCAGTGAAGGCAAATAGCAAACTCTGTAGAGCTAAGGAAAACAACATGATGTGTGTTGGTTCTTCATATAAGACTAAGTTTTGAGTCACTAAATCTACTGGTCAGCATCTTACATAGTTTGCGACTCAATTAAATGAAGACACAAAAAGACGAAATGGGTGTCCTAATAGTATACAGCGTACCTCTTGAGATGGTGGAGGAGCATGGAGTGCTGCTGGGCTGCATTGACAAACCTTCTCACCCCCTCCGTATCCTCACACCTCTCACACCTCCCATCCTCCCTCACTACCTCCAGCACCTACAGCACAACATACCATTGTCATTAATATGCATATACCTCTATATACAAAGATGGTAGCTATCTAAATCTATAAAGGGTTTACTGGTGCAGTGGAACGGAAATTAATGGGACAAAATATAAAATATAAACTGTCCATATTATGGTTAGTGCCCTGTTCAATGGTACCACATGTTAAAAGTGTGCACTAGATATTCCCAGAGATCAGAAAGAGGAGTAGTCTTGACCTATAGCTTCCCACTGCATGAACCATATATATTGCTCATTCGATGTCTCGAGGCCGATATATTATAATAAGCGTGTCTGCATACTATATACACTTTGTCTGCTGAAGACCCACACCTTCACAGCTTAATCCATTCCCAGGGTATGGATTGCATAGTTGATCATGTTTGATCAGGACAAAGAGACAGGTAGGGAGTTTAATAAGTCTGTGTCTACATAACAAAGGCACACTGATGCAGCATTCCACCTAACCACATAAATGTAGTACCAGCACCAGCAGAGCATAGTAGCTCAGATAAAATTGACTTGCAAAGAAAGCCTTATAAGCCTACCATTGTCGCCTCCACCTCCTCCTATGTACAGACGGCACCAGGAGCTATATATAGTGCACCTTAAAGATGACAAACATTTGCAATGCTTCCAAACGCTCAAAAAATGTCCGAATGCGATCGTTGAACTTTTCAAAATGGAGCTGATCAGACTTTAGCTAGCAGCACGAAGCTAATTTTTCAAAATGGAGCTGATCAGACTTTAGCTAGCAGCACGAAGCTAATTCGTAATGAGAAAGGCGTAGCATTTTAAATTGTGCGACAGAAAATCGGTAGTACAGCGCTGTGTTACCTACACGGCAATTATTGAGGTGTGAACTTTGCATCGGTGTGAACGCAGCACTACTGCTTTCCAGAATGGAGAACATTAAGCCAAGAAAGATGTCAACACTGGAAGCTGAAACATGGTGTGTATCTGTTGTGCTTTCTTTAAACCAAAAAACCACGTGCTAGTGCTGCACCTTCATGGCAGGTTTGGCAGGGAGACTGGCCATCTTGGTGAGGATGAAGACGATGACAGGTAGAGTGCCCGCCACCTCTCTCTTCTCGTCTCTCTTGCCATCGTCCAATGTCACCTGCACAATAACATGGCTAGCTTTTACACTTGGGGTCTTTACTATAATCATTATTATTACGTGGAATTATGCAACTTTCTTGTGAGGGCAGCGATATGAAAGCAACAATGACGTAACACCAACAAATGGGAGTTGTAATGCAGAGACACAGGACAGCATGAGCCACGCATACCTCTTGCACGATACAACCGGCATTACAGTGTGGAAATAGAAAGGGAGAGAAAGGTGTGAACTTTGTGTACGTGTGTGCCCACCCCAAGAAGACGACCAGCTTCTATTCACACAGTGTAAGACAATAGGGAAGGAATGAGAGAGAAAATTGGGGATTTTGGCTCACACGGGCATTTTGGTCAGCTCATCTTACCACTGAGTGTTTCCAAGGATATTCACTACTTGGAGACAAGTATGCATACGTCTGGATTCCAACCACTTATATATGAATGGCAAGCCTCTACATTTTTAGACGGTCAGCTCTATTTTTGTGATTTAAAATTTGGGACACTCAATTTTTGATAATACAAAAATTCCGGCCTAAAATATTAACAATTACAAGGAAGGCAAGACTAATTTTAATATTAGAGCCTCTCCTATCCTTAGTGCAAAATTGGTATTTCCATATCCTTAATGCACCAACATCTGTACCAACTACTCAGTCAGGTTTGAAGAGGAAAAGATGAAGGGTTGGAGCAGATACAGGGGAAGCTTGGGGTGAGATATGGGAAAATACGAATAGTTGGAGCGTTACAAGATTTCTCTGAAATGAAAAGAAGAAGATGCCTCCACAGAGACAGATGTTGTTGATAAGTGTGTCATTTCTGTGCACAAACCTTGTGGGTTCTAACCAGCCACCCAGAGCTAAAGGTCTCCAGCAGAGAGTTCAAGATGTGCTGCTGGGCCAGCGTTATGCAGACGTAGCGACCGCCTGTCTTCAAGACTCGTCGAATCTCCTCCCACATGCACCTAACTTTAGCAACGGTTTCATCATCGGTGTTGCTATAAATAGCATCGAGTGTCCCCTTGTCTAGGACACACTCAAATACGCAGTCGTCGAAGGTCATTGTAAGCATATCCATTTGAGTGAAAGACATTTTTGCCCGTTTTTCGAAATTTCGTGCCCCCATCTTTTTGACCACGACCTCGGAGATGTCGATGTTAGTTATGTCGGTGATGCCGGCGTCGTACATGTCCTCGCTGAGTTTGGAGTTGCCACACCCCACGACCAGGGTCTTGCTGGTGATCTTCACGTACTTGTGGAGGATGTGACAGAGGTCAGTGTATTGACCATACCACTCGAACGGTGTGCTCCTTTTGGAGAAGAACTGGTCCCAGTAGCTCTTCAGCTGGAACTGGGTGTGGGAGACAGGCAGCAGACTCATGTTGGTATTACGTGGCTTTGAAGGTTCACTGCAAAAGGTTAAAGTACAACATGTGCCTTGCGCGGCGCGCCCCCAGCTAGCCGCCAGTTAACGAACGCGCATGCGCGCGCGTAAACTTTGGGCGCGCCGGCGGCCTCTCTATATAGCGCATGCGCACCAGGCGTCGTCGTAATATTCCAATAGGAAAATCATAAGTTGTACTGGGAAAGAGGAAGCTAGGACGAATTCCCATGCGTTTGTTCTTGAAATAAATTTACTAATACACCACTTCATAGACAGTGATCTATTGCTGCAAGTATTGTTCTTGAAATCTTTAATGTAGCTGAGATCAATTGACGAAGGAGTATCTCCTTACAATGTCATTCACTTGCTCTTCTGCAACCAGTGTTATTTATGCATGTCTCAACAACTTGGCAATGAAGTAGAAAGGCAAGGCAAGGCAAACAAGTCAACTATACACCCAGGAGAGCTCAAAGAAAAGAAGAGTAGCTGCCCTGGGTGGGATTCGAACCCACGACACTCTTGCAGTCTCTTTTCAAGAGGAGCTGCCCTGGGTGGGATTCGAACCCACGACACTCTGCAGTCTAGGCGAGCGCTCTACCAACTGAGCTACCAGGGCAACTCAGCTGTTAGGGGTTCGAATGTACAACACAACACAACACAAGGCAAACCTCAAACCACCTGTGCTATCATTTATATGGTTTGTACTGGCTTCTGGTTTTGTATTTTCCGGTTAGGATCAACCCTGATGAGCACTCCTGCTCTTTTATGCATTCTCCTTTACTTCCTCCGCATTCTTTTGGGGATAAACATTGGTATACTATGCAATACAGGAGAGTCATCCATGCATACTTTGTCCAATAGGTAGGTTATCATCTTCAGTGGGTGGAAGCCTAGGATCAATGCATGTGCACCGTTATTATAGGGATTCGTTACATAATCAATATGCAATAACGTTTACATGTTATTGTCTGTAGGCTTAATTTATCCACAAATAATATAGTACCAACAGCTATATATGATGCTGTCTTGTATGAAATAATATAATCATCATACCAACACCAAACACTATCTACAAATTGCATACACAGAGGCCATAAGAAAAATGGTGTTAACTCTCACGGACAAAAATTGAATGTAAAAACCCCCACACAGAGAGAACTTAAAAAAACATATACTTCATAAAAGGATACACGATAATAAACTACTGGACCGCGAAAATAACAGGAAAATGAAAAATTACCCTGGAAGTACAATCTATAAAATAAGGAAAACTGGAACCCAAATACCAAACAAACAGATAAAACAACTCAAGAAATAAAATTAAATTATTATATAAACTAAATTATATGTTCTAAAACATAAAACAAAATCGACCCAAAATTACGAATAAGTACAAAAATACAAAGTAAAACAAATGTACTAATCTAAACCCAAAATCTGATCGGGAATCCAGAAGCCATAACGAAAGCACACGCAATTCAATAACAGGAATAAGTAAAAATAAGACGAAGGGGACAATAAAAAGAAAGGAAGACACAAAGGAACACAAAAAAATACAAAAGAATACGGAGCAAAAACAAACGCTATAAGCCAAGAAAGACGAAAATTAGTCAAATTATTAAAACAAGTAACCAAGAAAAGTTAAAAACTACAGAAAAGAAAGCGAAAGAAAAGGGAGCAGGAATAAAAAATGATAATAGAAAGTATGGAGGCGAGGATAAATGGAGGAAAAATTTTAAAAAGTCATGGATAATAGAAAAAAGAAAAAGAAATAAAAAATAATTAACAAGAACGATGAAAAGGAGGAAGAAAAGAACCAAAGAAAAAAATAAAAGCAAAACATGTAAGGAAACAGAGCAAAAAAAATAAAAGAAAAACGAAAAAAATAAACAGAAAGAAAACAAAAAAAAGAAAAAAAAAATAACAAAAAAAATTAACGAAAAAAAATAAAAAAACGAGCAGTAAAACTGAGCAGTATTATAATACGTAAACACAGAGAATAAGGCAAACATGAATTTTAAACCCACAAAGGGAAAAAAACACATAGTAAGTAAATATGGGCCGATTGAGTGTTAGACTTGAGTGTTGTTTGTGTCGTTCATGGCCTCTCTAATGTCAGAGGAAGGCTGTCCAGAGAGAGTCACATGGTTCATCGCTGACAGAGTGTGAGAGGCGGTGTCGTCTTCGAGAACTTTGGTCTTCTTCTTGCAGCAAGATTGCTTGCAGAGACAGTAGCAGCAGGCACAGAGGCATGGGAAAAGGCAGCAGACAAGAGCTGCTCCAATCACTGCTCCCATTACTCCATACACAATGGGTGCTGTGTTTTTAGAATATTATCTGGTAAAACGTTAGTATTATTGGAGTATGAGAAAGTTAGTACACAGGGTTAAAGAGATTTAAAAATTTCGGGGTGCAGCAATAGGAAATGAAATAGCAATTGATAAAGGTATTTACTGTGACTAGACAGAAGGAAAACAAGCTTCTCATTGGAATACACTCCTTATACAGTAGTGTGTGCAGGGTAATAGAATTATGAAGGGAGTCAGCCAAATGGCTTTCCTTTTTCAACTATAATTATGCAGCAATGTGAAGGCCAGGGAAGCATTGATATATAAACTCGTATACATTGCTTCCAAGAATACGCCGCGACATGATACTCCTGTAGTGTAGCAAGCTACATGCATGATTAGTAAGGTTGTAGTCACGTAACAACGCTAATTTACGTACTACATTCCGCTGCAGCCTCGTCGCTCCCGTCCCGACAGTCCGCGTCTCCGTCGCACTTTGCGGCCCTACACACGCAAGTCCCGTCCTCGCACTGGAAATAGTCCGCGTCCGACTGCAGTACGCAGCGCTCGCTGGACCCCGGGCCGTCTTCACAGCTGAAATACCCTGCATTTATAAGAATGAACACCATTCGTAGCATTGATAATCCACCATGTTCCCGTGCTATATGATTCTCTTACTGAGCGATACATTTGTCGACGTTCTTACAAGACAAGCTACTCACCGAAGCATGGAAAGGAGAAAAGGACAAGCAGAGGAAGCGCCCGGACCAGTAGACCAACTAGAGCCATGTTTGTTCTCGTCCAGTCGTCGTCCGTCTTCGTCAGTGCAAGCGCGATATGCAGCGATACACTCACGCGCATGCGCATTACATCTGCGCAATTCACCCACTAGTATAATACGTAACACGACTAAAATGTGAAATGAGTCTTTCAAAAGTGAAAATATCAGCCACTTCCGCAGATTGTCTCGTTAAACTTTGAAAAACGGAAGCCCGTAGAGAAGAGGCCCCCTGTCTTGTACAGTCTGTAGTTGTTCTCGATGACAGGGTCATTAGGACTGGTAAATTCCAGGGTTCTCCCTCCCTGCTGGTCGCCAGCATAGAGACATGACTCTGGGCGATTGTGGTCCCACGGCAAACGACTAAACTCTGCCACAAACTGGCGGACAATCTCCGAGCCGCTCGGTGAGAGAATGTCGACTCGATACAGATCCTGTGACTGCAGGTCGTAGACTACAGGTCCGGGGAAAGTGTAGGGGGTTACAGTGACAGGAATGTTCCAGAACTGACCTGCAGAGTAAGGAACATAAATATAGTGTAACGTCTTTATAGTCACTGCATATTCATCAAGCACACCGGCCAAAATACACAATTGGATTATAGACCATGTCTGCCGCGCCTATAAACAGCGTCCATTCATCCGTCGCTTTATACAGTGCACAGATACAGTTGGTGTCTACAGTGGGCCTAATGTCCCTCTAAAATGTTAAAAGGTTAAACACCTTAATATATCAGCTACACGCCTATACAAGGATTCAAAAGCAAGGAATTCAGCTCACCGAGAAGGCCATGAGATGTTGGGTTGAGGTTGAAGCCTCGTGTGATGTCAAATCTCAGCTGAGGCTGATTGTCAACCTCCCTGCACTTGACCCACATCACCAACTGAGTGTTGGCACAGTTTGGTACCGATATCCTAACAGACGCCCCGGTTTTCCTGACCGAGATCCCGCCACTTTCAAACCTCGGGAGGACAGTGATGTCATTATTACCTCGTCGAATCTCCGGGGTGCAATTTTGCGCGACGTTCACACGAATATTCACACAGTTTCCGCTCACATCGACTGCCCTGACGCCAATATCACTGATGAAATTCAGTTGTGGATTAACAGAGCTGATGCTATAGAGGGCGTTGACAGAGGTGCAGATATCGGAGACGAGGTTGAAGTCTGCTCCAGGCATTCCGTGGATCTCATAACAGAGGGCAACTCGGTTCTCTTGGAACGAGTCACTCTGACTGTTGGAGGTGAGGGAGAGGGGGACGATGAAGAACGGATCTCCAGTGACTGTATCGTCTACAAACACATCTCCTGAAATGAGAGAAATAAAACGCAGAGAAACCTAGAATAGGTTCCATGCATCATACAACTACCATAGTACTACAAACAATGGAACCTCTTGTTATGAATAAAGGGCATCTCACTCTAGTACTTTGATAATTTCTGGAACCTCTTATAATTAATGGACACTCTCAATAAAGAACATGATTGTCTCTATCTAGAAGTTGCAACATGTCTATTCTGGGAAGTAGTTTTACTAAACTGACAAATGCAACATTTTGTAGTTAACTGACCCGCATCGCGGATGACAACAATTGATGTGCTGGGCTCCCCAAGAGCCACTCTCTGAAAAACAACGGGTAGTGTGAGTAGGACAGAGAAACTCTCCTCTCCTTCGGACACGTTGTCTTCCACTATCTCCACCAGCACTGTGGCTGAGTTGCCTTCAATGGTGATACTGGTGTCTACCTGGGCCGTGTAGTCATCTGGTGCTGCAGTGGACGGATAACAGTGCTTTTTATCTAGTGCCCTGCTAAAACGGTGCATATATAGGTGTAGGTACGTAACAGTGCTTTACATAACTCTAAAGACACACGCAAAAAAGCTGAAGTTTCGCAATTGTGCATTCATTAGCTTCCCAGGAAAACGAAATGCTGAGCTACACTTAGTCCTCCCCACCCTAAGATTCTGCTGCCAAATTTCCTACTCATTTCAAAATGGATGAATCCTTGCCTGAAGCCAAATGTTTACAACCCCCTTACTAAAACACAAGCACAAATACTCGTGTGTACACACCGTCGTAGTAAAGCAAATTCAGTGCAGCAGCAAGCGTGAGCATAGCGACGCATAAAAACAGAGCATGATGCTAGCAATGAAATTGCACAATAACTCGGTCTGTGTGAATGTGTTTTATGTATGTTGTGAAGCTGTTTAGCCTCTCCATTGTTTTCTTACTTCTCCATTTGAAAATGTGAGCTGTTTATCAAATTCCCTGATGACTAGCATACCTACCAACCTGCAGATGAACCTTTGCTTGAGCAATGTGTCAAACTTGATTGATTTTCAGTATTTTGCTTGAAAATGCTGCGTGTCCATTCATGGTGCATCACAGGTACAAGCACTGAAGTGCAGACCCTCGGCGCACTGCGACACGCATGCGTAAGTAAACGCATGCGCCGTGCCACTAATTGATGGACTGGGTTTAGTTTTAGCTGTCACTCGTGGTCTCTTGCCAGCTCACGCAGAGTCTGACACGGGCTAACTACACTACTAGATAGTATGCGAGAGGCGATACACGTCCTGCGTTGCATCTTCTGGTGCCTCTGAGGTACGCAGAGCACGCGGATCGACCATGCCGTAGTAAGCTGTCCCGTCCGTTGTGTATTTGCATATTGGCCTTTTCACGCTCTAGCTTTGCAACGGAGCAGTTTCAGAGAAAACCGTTCGGAATTTCTGACCTTCATTGCCCGTTAAGTAGGTCGTATCCTTCGTGAGACGAACAAACACTCGAGAAGTGAGATTGAGAGTAACAGACACACAGACAGACCCAACTACAGTAACCCTCGCTGCGCATGCGCGTCGAGGTTTAAAAAGAGGAATTTGGTAATTTTCTGGTGGGATAGGCTGTATTTTTGCTTGATTATCAAGCAAAAAGCTGGATGGTTGGTAGGTATGGACTAGATTGGCTTGCTTCACTCCCCAGTAAACCCTCTTACCAGTGGCAGTCCCATCTGCCGTGCTGAACAGTACAGAGTGAACAAACTCGGTGTTGTTAGGCGCAGGAAAGATAGTCAGCACTATCTCCACAAACCCAGCATCTTCCCCCACAGAATAGACATCCACTGAAAATTCTACCATCGGTGTCTGTGGATCTGCACAATCATCAGGCAACAAACACGAGAGAAGAGGAATGGAGCATAAGTACAAACTGCCAAAGTGTCCCCACCCATGTCCTCCTTACCACTTAATTTTTGGCATACTATGGATATTGATGCCATGTATGTAAGTGCCCCTATAGAAGATCACAGCTAACCTGCAGTCACTCCCCTGTGTATGGTGTGGCATACATATCATACCTACAAACTGGTAGCTCTGACTATACTCAAAATAGGTATTGCTACACAAGTATATATACTTCACTAAGCTAAGTACTGCACATTTATCCTCTAGCTAGCAAAGGCATACAGAAGTACATACGTATGTCTGGGGTTCATTTCAAGGGTAGCGACCGTGTCTGCCAAGCACTAGGCTACATCATAATAATTCTCCCTCCATTCTGAATATTCATGATATGTGGATGCGTTAAACTGTCTGCTATGATTATTGCACCTAATGTTGGGGGCTGGGTAATGTCAGACATGATTGCCACGGTGATCTCGGCCCGGCTGGAGCGAAGTTCTTCATCCTCGGCAAACACGGAAACGTTGAACATCTTCAGGTCTTCTTGGCGGTCATCTCCCAGGATGGTGACATTGAAACAGATCTGGTTCTCAGGCGGCCGCAAAACTCTTATGATGGGGTCGAACATGAAATCAACACCAGCTGGAGGAAGAGGAAATTTTTTTCCCTTTCTGTTAGAAAATTGTTTCTTTTCTTTCTGTTAGAAACAGTTATTTAAAGTGTCTGTACTACTACATACACAATGCTTGTTGGTCGACTGGTATATCAGTTAGTTCTTCGGCCACGACTGCAAATCTGACTTCTCGGTCCAGAATCAAATCACCACCGATACCAATGCAGAGCGTGATTTGACGGTCAATATCCTCCTCCACTACCATTATCATTGTCTCGTTCATGAACTGAATAGTGCATTCTGTGTATACAAGAAACATACACAAACTATTAACAATTTCATGTCATAATGAGTCGTGTCATGATCTTCAGCACTAAAAAGGCATATTATGGCATGACTATAGCCCAGTCGCACCGTGCAGCGTTGATCACGAGGATAGAATCCATCTCTATCTTCGCGACAGGACACGGCGCAGCACAGCACAACGGGGGGCAATGCGGCGTATTGTGAACTTGGCCTGACATACCATCGTCGTCTGTAATGAAGACTTGGGCAGTTGAGCGTGGTCCCAGTCTCACGTTTGGATCTGAACTCTCCAGTAGTAGAGAGAATGTCTCCTCCTCATCATCACACATGGTGTCCTGAGATAGTGTAACGAGGACACTTCTCCTGGTTTCCCCAGGGGAGAAAGTAATTGACCCTGACTGCGGACTAAAATCACTCTCTGTAGAAAGAAAAAGTCACTCACTGTGAAATAGAAAAAGTTCGTTCATTCACGTCACAACTTTTCTTTCTCTAACTTATCATGAAGTATGGCCTATATAGTTAGTGTAATACTTAGGGATTTGCAGGGTATATACCTAGTATCAGCATCATAAATGTATGGCCTATTATAGGGAGTTTCCGCAGGAATTTTTATTTACTTGTTAACACATTATAACTCGTTCGTACATTCTCTGCCCTCCCTTCATCTTCTCCTCACCATCAGCCGTGCCGACAAGAGAGGTAAATCTGACCTCCACCGCCCTCTCGGTGGACCCACGGAGTAGGACCGACACGCTCACATCTCCTCCCTCTATCCCTGTATATGCTGCCTCTTCAAACTCCACGAACACACCTGACAAGAGAACACTTGCAACAGTAACTAAAGAAAGTGCTAAACCCTTGATGCAGTGAGCGTGTAAGAAAGTACAATGAGTAATCAACTACACAGTCAGTCTTTCAAAAATATTTGAAAGAAAATCGCCTGCAGGGTCATATTTGTATTAAATTTCCAAGGGGGTGTTAAGCAGCAAGATAGGGGGAAAAAGACCAGAGTCTAGAGCGAGATAGGGGGAAAGATAAAAAGGTCAGTGGCATTTTTTGGCAAAATTGCCCAGACAAATTTTATACACATTATATTTGATACATGTCAATATTATGATGTTGGGTAAGGAAAACTGCTGACTCACTGTCATCGTCGGTAATGGTGACCCGGGCGGTGTTACGTGGCCCAAGAACCACGTTCTCGTCAGTTCCGGTTGAGCTGAGGACGACCGTGAACCCCTCCTCGCTCTCCAGCACTCTGTCGTCCAGAATGGGAATGAGGATTGCGACTTGGGTCTCCGCGCTCGGAAACTCCACCGGCTCTATGGTGGCATTGTAGTCCCTGCCAGCTGGGGGGAGGGAGAGAGAGGGAGAGGAAGAAGAGATGAAGGCAGAGGGATAGGAGGGGATATACTCCATAGCACTGGGGCTGTAAATACAATACACGCAGAGCATTAACGTATAATTATAGCAGGAGTGTACATTATTAAAGGTGGTATAGGTGGAGGTGTTTGTCTAATCTTACACTCCCAGCTGCTATATTGTGGTAGTATGTACATGTATGTTTGCCTTGTCTTGCCTTTCTACCTCGCTACCAAGTTGTTGAGTCATTCACACACTCAGTGTACACAAAGCAGCAAGATACTGCAACTTGCCACTTACATCCCTCCCTCCATTTTCCATTAGCAAGTCACACAGCTCAAACGGTAGAAAACTTACCTATAGCAGTGTCGTCACGGGTTTCGGTTACCACGGAGACCATCACCGGAATCTCGTTTTGTCCGATCTTGCTCAAGAACACAGATACCACTCCATCGCCCTCGGAAACGGTGTAAATCCCGTCAACGAAATCAACTTGAATGTCTACGAGGAAGCAAGAGAGAGACATAAACATGATAAACTTCAAAGTGAAGTACACAGTAGGATGGCCAAGTGCTAGATTCGGACACCGTACTAACAAAAACAAAAACAAGCAAAAAATTTTATGAAAGTATTATTCGTGAATACTTCAGTTTTTCGAATATCAGACGGCATTTGCGAAACTTGTTTTGCTAAAAGTTGCTCTCACACAAATCTCGAAAAGGTGTTAGTAATATTTACGTAGTCAACTCACTGTCGTTGTCAGCGATGTAGACGACTGAAGCATCCTCGGGCAGATTCAGAGCTGTCTCTCCGGCCGGGGCAGAGAGACCAACAAAAAACCTCTCTCTGTTCTCGACAGTATCGTCGTCCAGAACTTGAACTGTCTCGGTGAACGACACCGGTCCAGCTGGTGAGAACGTGAAGATAGTCTCCTTTGCTGAATAATCACCTGACCCAACTGGTTTGGGAAAAAAACAAGAGCGTCATATGAATTATGTGGGGTAGAATTCATTCCAGTTTTAGTTAAAAATTGCTGTCAGCCTCTGGGGTACATAAATTCAGCAGCAGAACTCACGGATGTAAACCTGAAGATGCATTATTTTCTACCACACACGTGTGATGAAGTGTTGGACACCAATGAGTGAAGCAGAGTCTCAGAAAACAGTGCAGTTTTACTTCATGCACAGAGCAAAATGGAATAGATTACATCATGGTCAAATACAAATAGAGTTCTGTTATACTATATAGCTAATCAGAGCCTAATAACCTGTTTCAGACTCTTCAGTGAGACATTACGTAACTACCTGTGGCAGAGCCATCTGACGTGGAGAGAGAGACGAGGATGTCCCTGTTGAGAGTGACATTCCCATCTCTGGTCACGGTGAACTGAACTGTCCTCTCAGCATCACTCCCTCCCTCGTCCACCTCCACCCCTCCCCCCTCCAACAGCACCCTTACCTCTGGATACAGACGGAGGGAAACAGAGGGTTAAATCACAATTTCAGGAAAACAAAGCAGTTCCATCTCACCTATATACGTGTATCTACTCACACTTACACAGGGTGGTTTTCTATTGGGGTTTCAATTCCCCCCTGAAACTCCACAAGGGTTCAAATCTATCAATCGTCATAGTCTCAACTACTGTATGTGCCCCCCCCCTTTCTCCTTTTTTCGAACAGAGATAAGTGTGTAGTAAAGAAGCAGACTTTTGAACGGCATTTTGTTTTCTCTTGCAAAGGCCTTGAGTTTGAACGAGGTAAATGCTAAAGATGGTATACAGTGTTTGCTGGATGTTTGTGCAACTTACTGTCATCATCTTCAATGAGAACCATAGTTCTCGTAACATCTCCAGCAACGATCGTCCCGTCGTTGTTTTGAATGATTAGTCTGGGCAACAAGAGAGAGGGAGATTGTGCATGAACACTGAACATGTATGATGTTAGGGGAGGGCGGTGGGTATCATGTCTCAACAACTTGGTAGCTGGTGGATGCTATCCATTGGACGCCATTGAAAGATGCTATATACAGTACCCCACCCCATACATCTGAACCATACCCGATTATGCAACATTACACACACACACAAACGCATGGGCGTGTCAGGCATGTCTCAACAACTTGGTAGCGAGGTAGAAAGGCAAGGCAAACAAGTCAACTACACCCAGGACAGCTCTTTCTTTTCAAAAAAAGAAGAAGAGCTGCCCTGGGTGGGATTCGAACCCACGGCACTCTACTCACGCCACATTGAAGGTCTCCGTAATTTCGATGATGTCATCGTTTCTGATGGGGATGAGGAAACGGACGCTGGTCTCGTCGGCCAGAATCAGAGTGACGGCAGGAAACACGGCAGTCGGGAAGAAACCATAGTCAACTCCACCTGCACACAATCAATCACCGGATTTGTTAGAACGACAAAGACAATTTTAACGTGATGGAGATTTTTTATCTTCATAAACTTAGCATTTTCGTTCACAAATATGATCATCACTAGCTGCCACAATTGTTTGAGACTTACGTATATACATGTGCAGAGAGCTAAATTCTGTGCATCGTGCAGTTTTACCTCGAGCAGAGCCGTCTGTAATGTTGAGGTTGACTGTGATGTCAGAGGTCGTGACGCCGCTCTTGACGATGGCGAGGTAGAAGAAACCGTCTCCTTCGCTCACCGTCACAGTCTCGTTAGTGAAACTGATCTCCAGCTCTGTATGGGGTAGAGAGGGCCATGATTTATACAAGAGAGGGGGTATAAATTTCTTATAGTTCACATTATACAAGAGAAGGGGTATAAATTTCTTATAGTTCACATTATACAAGAGAGGGGGTATAAATTTCTTATAGTTCACATTATACAAGAGAGGGGGGGTATAAATTTCTTATAGTTCACATAAATCTCTGTTGAATGCTTCTTTATCAAGTCAAATTCTCCCACTATAGATTATGCGTGTGTCAATAAATGGCACAACAAGTCAACTATACCATGTCCATGTCCTAGGTTTATAAAAAAGGAAAAAAACCAAACCTAGGACAGCTATTTTTTCAGCAAATGCATGTAAACCATTCAGTTCCAGGAGTGCTATTTGACTGCTTAATAATTATGGCCATTGATAATCTACACCCACACCTTCTCTCCCATTATTACACATGCAGTACAACCTCTGAAAAGTACCCTCGGAATAAAGGACACCTCTCTATATAGAACACTTGGTCCTGCCTCATACTAATACATAGGGACACCTCTCTATAAAGGACGCTTGGTCCTGCCCCATACTAATACATAGGGACACCTCTCTATAAAGAACACTTGGTTCTGCCCCATACTACATTAGACACCTAAAAAGGTAATTCGATCGCTCGCCCCCCCCTCACTCCCTTATTCCTACATACCTCTCCATCTATAACCAACTCACTCTCGTCATCCACTATCTCCACCAGACTGCTAGTAGTCAGTTCACCATTGCCGTCACGGAGTTCAAGTCTAAAACTCTCTATTCCCTCACTCAGAAGGTCGTCAAATATCACGACTCCTACCGTCTCAAACCTCACACTGTCACTGAACGTCAGAGCTCTACTGATGGACATGTAGTCTTCCCCTTCTGAAATTGACACACACAGGTTTAAAAACATCTTCAACAGAAATTTTATTTCAATCAACGATGGTGACATTGAGGTGAAAAAGGTTTTCAGTGTATAAGTTATGTTATAGGTCAAGGTGTATATCAGCCACATGAAAAAACAAATGATGAAACAAAATTCTATCAAAACTACTCAATAGCCTAAGAAATTAACAGCATGCGCGTATGTAAGGAAGAGAAAGATACACGAGGGTTATAATGGACTACGTGTTAAAAATACAGTGCTTCATCATTCATTATACCGGTGGCAGTGAGAGGGACAGAGGTCAGAGTCCACGAGTGGGTCGTCTCAGTGAAAGCATCAAACGACACAGAGATCTCAGCCAAACTCTGATTCTCGTTGAATGAGTATACTTCCTGTGAGAATGACAGCTGGGGGGCTGTTGGCGTGACAACAGTATGGAAGGGAGAGAAATTAGAGAGAAAAAGATGGAAAGAGAGAGAGAAGGAAAGGTAAGAAAAAGAGAGGCAGGAGAGAGAAATCAGTGAGGAGGAAATTTGCACAGCTGTTGAGATTGGAATTGACCACGGGAAGTGATTCACAGAAATAATGGACTTCTATTGTTGCCCTCGAGTTTGGTGGGTTGGGACTCATACACACATGTAAAACTACGTATGTGCCATAGAAATTGCACGGTAATAATTATTTCAGAGAAAGCTCATATACTATAGACTCTCAGTCTTTCCCATTCCGCCGGGTGTCAATTAACCCTAAAATAAGCAGAAATTGATGTATAACATATTAACGCCTAGTATTATAGCCATATATAAATTCTTATGGACTTATGGAGGCTCTGGACATTATATATATATGGCCCGTGGCTTGCTAAAGGTTAATCAAACACAGTCCATGTTTACTCACAATCGTTGTCCACTATCTCAACATCAATGGTCGGAGACGGTGAAGAAAACAGCACAGCAATGTCCGATGATGTAATCGCCAATTGAGCTGACTCCGCCCCCTCGTACAGGTTGTCATCGAAACCAGTCACATTGACTGAGGTCTCCAGCTGGTCTGGGGTCAGCGTTACCGTCGTCGTAGATAGAATGATGTCACGATCATCTGGGAGACGGGAAGAGGGGGAGAAGGAGGGGAAGAGGAGAGAGAGAGAGCATGAGAGATAGAGATGATGGAAAATATGAGGGTGAACAGGATATTAAAACAATGACAAAGAGAGTGAGAGACACCAGTCACCATGCACCAAGCTGTGATAAAAGCACTTCACATCGCTACTCTTAAGGGAATGTGTCGGTACACAAGGGCTAAATTTAGAAATGTTACTAAATATTGCACCAAACAAAACCGCCCAGTGAAAGAATTTCCATTTTTAGTAACTGTATCTACTTATATACTGCCACGTTCCATTTATATCCTACAGTCAGTACAATCCCCAAGGCATCACAATCCACCACGTGAGTATCAATTCAAGATCTACTACTATCATTATGGGTGACACTGACTGGAGGACGAGACTGAGATGAGGACATCTCGCTGGAGGGTAGCTCCACCCCCGCTGACCAGGAAGAAGACAGTCTCTCCCTCTCCCACCGTCAGGGCCTCTGGACTCACATCCACTGTCAGAACTGCAGGGAAGGAAGGTGTAAGGTTCACTGTATCCGTATCCTCGACAAGTATGTGTAGCGTTCCCCGTCTCGCTAACTGGAGTCAAATCCAGATTAGCTAAATCTAGGTGGTGGGTGTATAAACTGCTCCACACAGGATTATGATTGCAATTAGTTTCTTCCCTCTTGGCGGTGGATTGAATATCCACCAAAACCAGAGTATAGGAGACAGAGAGAGAGATAGAGAGAGAGAGTACGCACTCTCTGTCCGAGTTTTGCGATGTAGGTGATGATGGTTACGCACGAGCAGTATCGACACCAGGAGAGCCCACGATCTCCCAGGACCTCGAGAGGACTCGATGTCTCATGTCTTCCACAGCACCATCAGCACTCACATTGATCTATACACACACATACACAGATAATACAGCAGATCTACACACACATTCAAGAGATGGCTAGACAGAGAGCTACACACACTTCAAGGGACAGCTAGAGCACAGCAGATCTACACACACATTCAAGGAACGGCTAATACAGCAGATCTCACACACTTCAAGGATGGCTATACAGCAGATCTACACACACTTCAAGGACAGCTAGTACAGCAGATCTACCACCACAGTCAAGGGACAGCTAATACAGCAGATCTACACACACATTCAAGGGACAGCTAATACAGCAGATCTACACACACATTCAAGGAACGGCTAATACAGCTGATCTACACACACATTCAAGGGACAGCTAATACAGCAGATCTACACACACATTCAAGGGATGGCTAATACAGCTGATCTACACACACATTCAAGGGACAGCTAATACAGCAGATCTACACACACATTCAAGGGACAGCTAATACAGCTGATCTACACACACATTCAAGGAACGGCTAATACAGCTGATCTACACACACATTCAAGGGATGGCTAATACAGCAGATCTACACACACATTCAAGGGATGGCTAATACAGCTGATCTACACACACATTCAAGGGACAGCTAATACAGCAGATCTACACACACATTCAAGGAACGGCTAATACAGCTGATCTACACACACATTCAAGGGATGGCTAATACAGCTGATCTACACACACATTCAAGGGACAGCTAATACAGCAGATCTACACACACATTCAAGGGATGGCTAATACAGCAGATCTACACACACATTCCAGGGATGGCTAATACAGCAGATCTACACACACATTCAAGGGATGGCTAATACAGCAGATCTACACACACATTCAAGGGATGGCTAATACAGCAGATCTACACACACATTCAAGGGACAGCTAATACAGCAGATCTACACACACATTCAAGGGATGGCTAATACAGCAGATCTACACACACATTCAAGGGACAGCTAATACAGCTGATCTACACACACATTCAAGAGGATGGCTAATACAGCTGATCCTCTGAATAATGGACACATTGGGACCAGGAATTTGTATAATATACTTCATGGGGAGTTTGTCCTCTCTTTGGAGGTAAAAAAAGTTCTATAATTATAGAAAAGTGAACATTTTGGACCTCAAACTGTGTCCTTTATTGAGCTTTTGTGTTCTTGATGCAGAGTGTCCTCTATGGAGAGCAGTCTTATAGCTGTACAGACACACTATATGGAAATCATGCTGCTGAGTTGAAATCCTTAAGGCAGAAATCTTTGAAAAAATTTGACCGATAAAAGGGCCTGTGGAGCCCCGCAGTTCAAATAATCCACAATCCACATTCACGAACAAACTGCGATATCCTTGAGAATGTTTAGTTCTCCCGCGAGAAGTGTAGTAGGAGTTTTTCTCACGTTTATGATCACGTCTCCTGTAGCTTGCACCTCCAGAACAGCATCAATGGGAGAGTAGTCTTCACCAGCTAAAAGACAATAGAGAATCAGTTTTCCAGTGATAATACCAACACTTTCAGTGCCGGATCCAGGGGGGTTCCTTGGGTTCCGCGGAACCCCCCTTTTTGTCGTTTTTTGCGCGCATGCATCGTCGGCCTCGCGCGAGGTTCTGGAAAGTGGAACCTCCTTTCAACAAAATCCTAGATCTCCCACTGACTTTGTAGGAGAGTAATCTTCGTCAGCTAAAAGACAATATATCTCAGCATACTACCAACACTCTGTGCTGTCAGAGTAGTGAGTTAATGCCACAATCATCACTACCTATATAAGTCCAGAAGAATTTCCTAAATTGTACAGTGCTAGAGTACAGGTCGTTTGAAGTCTTGTGAAGTATACAGTACAGTACAGTCTAGTGACACAACGGGAATTACTACTGTTGATTATAGTGTGGGGTAGTGGTGTGAGGTAGTGGTGTGAGGTAGATGAAAGTCTAGTTGGTGCCATTGTACTTGAGGTAAGTACTGACCTGTGGCAGAGACAGGCTGGGTGAAGACCCTCACTAGTACTGGCCTCTCGTTGCGTCCAGTTTGTCGAGAGGGATCCTGACTTCTCCCTGGGACTCCTCCACAGTCAGAGTGGCATTGCCGGGTGGCGGCAGACTCAACTGCACACCTGGGGACAAAGGAGACAGAAGAGGAAATGAAACATTTTCTCAAGTGAAAAATGTTTTATCTGTTTTACCCCCACCCCATGAACCACGGCTCAAAATGGTGAGAGATGCGTCAGAAACTACAATCTGGGCTTATTTGTGCACAAGTCCCCTGCCCTCCCTTGAAAAAAGTCTAGAAAAAAACGCAGCCGGTTTTCAATAGCAACATACTTTATATTTTGAGGTAAAATCAGTACTTAAATTTTGTCTTCACAGGAAAATTCTTTTCCCGCTGTACACATGTCTATTGGTATTCCTTATTCACTCACTATCTCCATCGTCCTGTACCCGCAGTGTTTCGGAGTCACGGGGTAAATTTACCCCAGTCTCTCCCTCCGGAACTCTCAGAAAGATCAGGTGATCCTCCGTTGCCTCGACAACATCATCGTCTCGTACCACAACATCTATCTGCTTTGGTGGGTCATTGGGTTCAAAGGTGAAAGTTCGAATACTGGGCGGAGCTCCATCACCAAACTCTAATTCTTGATCTGAATGGAGACAGAGTAGATGGATGCGATGCAAGGAGGATTGTGAAGTTTTTGTCGATTTTTTAAGGACATTTCGGTGGTTTTTAAAGTAGTTTGGACAGTGCTGTCTGACATACAGTGGAACCTCTGAACAAGGGACACTATGGGGCCAATTATTTTATTACTTGTAGAGAGGTCGTCCCTATCTTGGAGGTCAAATAATACACCAAAGTATAGCATGGGGTTGAAACAAGTGTCCTTGTAGAGAGTTCGTCCCTATCTCGGAGGTCAAATAATACACCAAGTATTAGCATGGGGTTGAAACAAGTGTCCTTTGTAGAGAGGTTGATCCTATCTCGGAGGGTCCCTTATTGGAGGTTGGAGGTATCAGACACACAGAAAAATCACATAATGCTGACTATAAGTGGGCTCTGTTTGCACGCTAGATGACTAACCTGAGAGATCAACTGTGACCCGAACAGCTCTGTCGGCCAGACCAGTCTTGTTGAGTAGGAACACGAGAGACGACGACTCGTTGACTACCAGCGGACCACGGGGACTCAGACTGATGTCCACCTCTGCACAACACAGTTAGAGAAAGAGAGTGACTGAAAATGAGCAGGAGAGTTGTAAGACAGCTAGTTAGCAGATTAGATAGAAAATAAAAGCAATTGTGACTCAGAGAATAGATTTGGATATTCCTACAAGCAAGAACGAGGCATCAGGGGTTCCATTTTAGTAACATATTCTGCTCGTAAAGAAAGTGGGAGACAAGGTTTAAAGAGAGTTTGAAAGAAGGTTTAACATACTGTCGTCATCAGTGATGGTGACCTCAACAGTATCTTGAGGATCGCCGAGTGGTTCGAACGTGTTTGATAGTGGCTGAAGACTGTATGTATAGCCAGAGGAGAGAGAAACAACTGATATTAGAAACACACTACTTTTCAACTGTGCAGTGTTCTGCGTGATACAGCAATATGGAGAATTGAACAATTCGGAAAATATACAGCAAGCAAAGCTATACATACACAACATAATAATGGAAGGCTCCTGTTCTGCCGTGTAATTGGTTGACATGCGACCAAAGTACTGACTGAAAATTTATCTTTTCAGATTTGGAAATTTAATGTCCTAAACCAATACTGAACACTATAAAAACCTTGACACAAATCACACGGTATAGGTCTTTCATACCTGACGGTGAAATTTTCGTTGTACTCGACAATGTTGTCGTCGAGGATGACGATCCCGGCGTCAACTTGTGACTCGTCCATCAGAATGACGTGAATGAACCCCACCCCCGAGTCCGGGAACTGTCCGTAGTCTATCCCAGCTGGAATGGGAATCAGACACAACTTGGTAACACACCATCGAGAGGAGGCTCAAACAAGAGAGAGAAAGAGAGAGAAACAGTTGCATGCTTCGACAATTTGACAGCCTTGTGTTCTCCTGTGTCTGTTTTCTGAACTTTTGCAACATATTTTCTCTCACAGTGACAATATTACCACCTGTCTGTATAATATAGAAGCATGTTCACCATGAAATATGTATTAGCTACCGTAACTATGGTGAATGCTTCTCCCTCAATACACACATATCATGGTGGACCAGTCTATATAAAGTAGTATCGAAGTGATAGATGGATGGCCCTTTGGCAAGAGAATAATGTTGAAAATGGCTCAAATCAGTCTCATCTAAGGAAAACATGTTGCGTTGATAAGGACACTAATGACACTGCGATGAACGTCAGACAGATAGCTTTCAAGACTAATTACGTGGCGACGTGCTTTGGATTCTGGTGTCTTGGCAAAGGGCAGAGCTGCTGCAGCTGAGGCCTGATATGGATGTTCATTAGGGAACATGATAAGGGGACACACCTTAATGGCGAGACTTGGCCTAATGCCATGGCGGGACTTGGAATTGATGCTGATGTGCTATTTCTATGATAGTTAGAACAGACGTGTCAATTAACATATACACATCAATTAATTCATACTGGTCTGGATTGTTTAAAATTATAGTGTGCACAAGAGTGATTGATGTTGATCAAAATATGGACCAATGTAGATCAATGTGGATCAATGTAGATCGGTGTGGATCAATGTAGATCAGTGTGGATCAATCTAGATCAATCTAGATCAATATGGATCAATCTAGATCAATGTGGATCAACATTTAAGCAAGTGGAGACACGACTAAGATTGAAAGCTGTACCATAAGCAACCACGATAAAAAGCTATACCTTTAGCAGTGCCATCATTGATGACGGCACTAAAGAAGAAGGTGTTTGTTCCAGGATTGACAACCCTCCGCACTCCAACACTGACATACTTATCACCTTCCCCGACCTCGTAGGTCTGGGCTATGAATGACAGGAGACCTAAAGAGAGAGAGAGGGGGAGGGAGGGAGGGTAGTAAAAAAGGAAGAAAACGGTACACATGGTAGTCAACTCAAATGCTCATCTTACAAACCTCCTCCCCAACTTTCATGCATCATTGGGCATATACACATAATATACTCAGGAGAGGGCAATAAGACGTTTTAAGGGTGTGTGGACTACCCAAAAGAGGGTTGAAAATAGCACATACTTGATAGTTGACTCAGCCAGACTAAAGGAATTCAGGCTCTAAAGCAATTCAGGCTCTAAAGCACACAGTTTACACTCCACATACCAGTGGAACCACAGTCTCCACAGACAACATACTCAGTACATACACTCTGGAACATAGTGCATCAGCACCCACAGTATAAATCCCTAACAGGTGGCAACAGCCAGCTCCACCATATTATGGCTGTGGGGTCCCGGATGGTATATATTATCATAAGGCTCCATGCCTAACCACATGCATGGGAAATGCATGTACTGAAAGGCTGCCTCAGTAGTAGTAAGCAATGTGTACAGCTGTTTCCGAATGTATGTGGGTGTCTGGGACACAAACGCCCTTCTACTAGAGTCTCTGCTGCAGAGATTTGTGTGGGATTGTAGGTCCTCTGTTTGTTATGGAGAGAACTTAGATGACTAGCGGCTACCACAGATGTGCATCGATAGTACACAACCAAATACTTTTCCTCAGGTTATGGCATTACTCCAGGCCACACCTTCAGTAATAAATGGCCCAGTGGAACAAAAACTGAACAGGGCACAAGATAACTGCAATGTCTAAAGCTGAACTGTTTATTCAAGCTTCTCAAGGCATTAGTAAGTGCTTCAACATATTAGATAACATGAGAGAACTTGGCAGGAACGTAAACTAAATATAGTACCAGAGCACTCGTAGCAAGTGTCGTTGATCATGAATGCTGCAGATGCAATTGCACAGCATTCGCTGTAGGGTAGCTCCGCCTCATCCCCATCACCACAGTCAGTAGAGGTCTGGAAACATCTCAACGGCCGCTCCTCTTGACATAACACACCTGTTGTTTGATACATACATCTATATAGCATTAGCTACATCTATGTCAGTGGATGATGATGATTTTCGTTAGTCGTGCTACAGTGAAGCTATGCACACCGTATATACCAGTTGACGAACAAGGGAGATAAGCGTATTCCAAAGCTGGCTGGATCACGAACCATGCAGAACCACCAATCATTACGCTGTACCTGGCTCCTACGAAACACATTCAGGGATAGCTACTACTCCTAGCGCGCATTTGGCCTACTTGATGAGAGTTCTAGCCAGTTGCTGGTGTGCCGGTTTACAGCCTCAGACTAACTGTATAACACCCAACTCACCGCCCAAGAGGTAGAACAGGGAATACAGTGCTAGAAGCACTCTGCCCGCTGCAATAGCCATTGCACTGCAGCCACAGGCACGTTGCACATTCAGTTACAAACCCGAACGATCTGACCGGAACTGCGCATGCGCAGAGCACATCAATTTCTCAATCGTTTTACACGATGTACAGATGTGCTAGTTTCTCATTCTTATACATAATACTAAGCAATTAGTTCTTGTTTAGTTTCGTATAATTATATCTATTGAAGTATGTTCTTGCTAGTTCTGTATCAGTACTTGGCAATACGGTTGTTGCTGTAGTTTGCCACCCAGAAAAAGCCGTCCTTGTCACAGGAGATCCCCAAGCAAGTACCCAACTGGTTGGAGAGTGTGTGGACAAGTGTGCGGTTCGGACTGTAGATCCAGAGACGATTACTTCCGCCATTCTCGCTGATGGCAATGTAGCCTTGAGCGTCAATAGCAATACCTGCGGGTGCGCTGATGGTCCCAGAGCCATAGCTTGTGATCTCTGTTCCCTCTGGTGTAAAGACTCTGATACAACTGGAGCCGTAAGCAGCAACATGAAGATTCCCCTGAAGATCAAAAGCAAGTCCCCAGGGGTTGAGAGGGCAGGAGAAGGAATAGGCAAAACTGTTGTCTTCGTTGAAAACTTGTATACGATGGTTACCGTGGTCAGCTATGAAAACCTTTCCTAAAGGATCAAAGCAGATACCACGAGGCTTGGAGAAACATCCCTCCCCATGCCCACTGCTACCCAACTTGGAAATGAACGCTCTCTTGCTAATACTGAACTTCTGGACTCTGCTGTTGTTGTATTCACAGACGTACATCAGGTCACCTCTGATGGCTACAGCTGATGGGGAATAAAACTGCCCATCTCCGCTACCAGCGCTGCCAGCTTTACCGAAAGTATGAATCCTCTGGCCTGTTACAGAGTACAAGGAGACAGTGTGGTAGCCGTATTCTGCTACTGCCAGATTTCCCTCCTCTGTTACTGCCACGTCGTAGGGCTGTGCGTAGGTACCAAACGTACTATGCGCGGTAGACAGCTCAGTATAGGGAACTGCCCTGGGGTTGGTGACATGGTACTTGAAGGGACTGCCTTTCACGTGGCCATTCGAAATAGTCACATGTAACTCACGTTCGCCTGCTACTTGTGGAGTGAAGGACAGGGAGTAGGTGCCGTCACCATGGTCAGTTGTCTTGCCAGTGATAGCAGGACCCTGGAAACCTGTTTGTATAAGTTTCCCTTCAACCTCATCTCCCCCCTCACCAAGTCGCTTGCCGTGCTTGTCTCCGGCTACAACCTTTATGGTACGCGGTACACCTACAACTGCAAGTGGTGAATACCCAGCATCGGCCGTGCTGAATTCAGGATGACCGTTTCCCCCTAACACTGAAGCAAGGCCAATCATCTTGCTAATGATGGCCGGCTCGGAAATATCGGTAACAAAAGCAGCATTTCGAGACGGAAGCAGATCGGATTCTTTAAACTCCTCGTGCAAGACTGTTGCTCTTTCTGCTAGGACCTTCTTTATGGATAGCAGCTGAGCAGGACTGTGGGACTGGGCCTTTTCTATTGCACTTGAAGCAAGGGACAGACCATCGCGTACCCTCTGCAACTGACAAACTTGTGCCTTCAGACCTGCTATTTTGCTCGAGCAAATCTCTTCACTTTGTGCTAAAAGAGCCTTGCGTACTTGCTCTAAGCTGTTGTTGATGGCAACATCGACTTCGTTTCTCCTCGCCTTCACCTTTTCCACGGTCTCCTTGCACCTAGCTATAGCACCATCAAGTGAAGCTACTGCTACTTTTGCCTCCCTTTGACATGTCAGAAGGCTCTCTCTTTCTTCTTTTGCAACCTGCTCCAGGTACTTGCACTCTCCGCGGTGATCGTCATGTTCGAAATTCATGCAAACCATGCAGATCAGTTTCTCGCACTTCTTGCAGTAGGCTTCAAGGACGTGAGACCTGTGGTGCACACAAAGCATCTTTGGCTGGTAGAACTTACTAATGGAGCTAGTTTCATTCGTTTTGACGAAACGCTGACCAATAGTGACGAGATTATGATCGGCTGTCATTTCCCTCCTCCCATGACGACCCTCGCAAAACTTGCACAGATACTCTTTACATTCGATGCAGTACGCGACTGCTTTCCCCGTGCTATCAGTTCGCCCGCACACTTCACACTGTTCGTCTGCATCTTCTACCTTTTCGCTGATGCGCGTAATTTCGGCTTCGTTGGACTTATGTAGGTCTTGGGGGAGATCGGATACTCCACTCCCTGGCAGAGTTACCTCCTCCTTGCAGCTGGGGCAGTGGAGACTGTTCTGGGTCTCCTGGGTCTCCAGCTCCTTCTTCAGACACCCGAGACAGAAGGAATGGAGACATGGCAGCATGCGAGGGTCCACATAGTACTTGTCACACTTTGCACATGTTGCTTCAGACATACCTAGCATAAAGCACAGGGGGTTAAGTTTTATACAGCCCCTTGAAAGTTTTATACAGCCCTTCATCCATGCTTACCTCCCTTTGGTCACAACTTCAACGCTAGCACGCTGTTGTCCTCATACGCATGCGCAAAAACGTACCAGGCGTGTGCATGCGCGCCGCCGCGCCATTCAGACTTCAGAAAATGCGAAGTGTTACAGATGACCATGAACGGAGAACATACATGAGTGAACGAAAAGTTTAGTGGGTGCCGTATACATTCTGGGTTGTGGTATTCGCAGAAACTTGCTCCGGCACCTTGTTCTGTCTTCTCTTTCTGTCTGCCGCCACCACCAGGACTCCGACAATGACGCCCAGTAGAGCAGTGAGCAGTAGAGTCAGGAGAAACGTGAGACCAACAGCCAGGCCGATCCTACTGTCCTTGTCCTTGTCACAATGGACCACCGCCTCGTCGGTATCTGCATGCAAGCGGAAAAATCACAACACTCACGCGTGTGCTTTACTATTTGCGCTTCAGTTACTCACCGGCAAGGGCTACCGACGAAATTCCGAGCATTACAAGAGCCAAGACAAATGCTAGACGTGGTTCCATCGCTGTAGATAGCTGTTGTTCTTCGTGAATGATGATGATGCGTGCGAGTGCGGGTGGATTTATAGCGTGCAGGCTGCATGGCAGACCGCGTCGATTTACGGATGTTGTAAGTAAACGCGTCCGGGATCAAGCCAGCTTTGTACATCCTGTCCGGCTAGAAAAGCCACAGGACAGGTCACACCCATACAATCACACTTCCCTACTGCCAACTATCTATAGCAGCTAGAGTCCGAGGGGACGGGAAAAGGATTTCCGTATTATTATAACCACCTTTGCGAATGCGGAAGGATTCCGGCCGGCTCTTCCGGCGCGTATGAGGCTACTTATACGCGGCTCTTGAGCCTTGCGCTGATAAGAACGGCAAAGGTCGAGCAAAGAGACGTAGCAGTATCAGAGATGGCAAAAACTATGATCTACCTCCTTCTCCTCTCCACAATTCACATCTGCTTTTCCAATGCAGGTGAGGGTCAACATTATACTGCAACATGTCACCAGCATTGTAATTCGTGCTTGCAACATAACTCATATTTTTGCAACAATATTCCAGACTCAGTGATGGTTGAATTTGACATGACTGATCGACAAGTGCCGGAAAACAGGGGACCATGTGACGTTTCACTGAGCAAGAGAGGCAAACTGGTTGAGGATCTCAATGTCCGTGTTAGAGCTCTCACCATTGCTCAGTATGAGAACCTGACTGGGAGCACATTCCCTGGAGATATCCCTGCAGCTGAAGGTAGGTATAGCTATCATAACAAGCTTGCTTTTTGCTGCTGTATTGCATGCTAAACCTTGCTGAGCTGCTTGGTCCAGTAGCTCAGGATGTTAGAGACGTAGTGTCACTGGTTCGAGTCCCAGAACAGCTCTATTTATACCCCATGTTTTGCAGAGCTTATGGGTGTTGTATCCTGATGAGTATAATGGCACCATTTTCTTTTTTGCAGCAAATGACTTTGACAGCAGTTACGAACAGATATTCACGTTTGAGGCGAATGGTGATTTCAGACAGATAAAGCCAGTAGCAGTGAATGTCGTAGACGATGATGTCAATGAGGCAAACGAAGAGTTCCTACTCTACTTCGACGTCCCAAACCTTCCGAGTTCAGTCTCGATTACCACACAAATAGGTCGCAACCCTGTTCGGTGCAGAATCATGAATGATGATGGTAAGTACATAATGACATAGTTGATTCTCATAGTATAAAAATATGCATGAACAGTTTGTACTTGCACTTTATATTATTTCCTGACATGAAGATTTACTTTTGAATTTTACACAGATGTAAAGATTGGTTTTGAGAGGGAAGTGTACACTGTAGAAGAAGGGACTAATCTGGAGTCACAGGTGTTCATCACAAAGGCTGATGGTTTCTCAACAGAGGAAGACATTGACATTCGAATCACAGCCATCCCGCAAACTGCTCAACTTGGTAAGCCACAGTACCTGGGCTTTATGCAAAACAGATTAATACTTCTTTTTATTCAGGCAATGACTACACGACTCCCAACGGTGGTCGTCAATTCAACACTGAGTTTTTCGCCAGCCAAAACAAGATTGGAGTGCCTGTTGGAGTCCTGAGTAATGCTGTGTCAGGAGACGGCGGCAGGAGCTTTTATCTCCAGTTTTCAGGAAGTGGGATCCGCAGACTCGTAAACGAAAACACTGTCACGCAGATTTTCATTGTCGACGCCACTCCCCCTTCTCCCTCACCGTCTCCCGTTCCTTCCCCCTCACCCTCCTCTTCCCTTGCCCCTTCGTCAACTCTTCCATCACTCCCAGAGCCAGTGTTTACAGTCGTAAACCCTGTGCAGAGCTCTCCGCCCGTGCTCACCAACGTCCCCCAGCAGGAAGGACCAATGACCACCGTCTTCCCCAGAGCAACAAACGTACCAATTGACAGAGAAGACTGCGAGGACAAAGAGAATGATGAGGACCTCGGGTTGGCTATTGGACTAACTTTCCTGGTCACGTTTCTCCTCACGGCACTGTGTGCTGCAGTCATCATTGTGTTTGTAGTCATTGCCGATCGCAGGAGAAGAGAGCACAGAGATCAACACCAGCGACTATCATAGAACTCCTCATTATCCACTCATTCTATTAACCACACATTTATTTAGCACCATTATTATTTTCTGTATCTCTCAGATGCACACAGACTCAATATTTTACCGAAATTTCTTCAAAAGACAAAATACAAAACAATTTTTCTCTCTGTCCATAAACATTTTATAAAAATCTTCAAAAGACAAAATAATATCAATGAAAGTTAATAGCTACTTTATCTCTCTGTAATGCATTCCCTACTGTCGAATTGTGTGTACAAGAACTCGCTGTCAAAGAGACTGTCTACTATATAGTCAGTGTATCTTCCTTCAATGACAGAGTCCCGCAGTTGTGGTGATTCTATCTCCCCCAGCGGTCCTCCCTGGGCACTGCCCGCATAGTAACACTCCTTCCCTCTCTTGTCCCACGTGTTGCTGTAGAGCCGGGCTATGAACTGCCTCGGGCGACTCATCGGTGGGGAAAGGGTTAATATGTATGGCGGTGGTAGTGAGTCGAGGGTTAAAGGTGCTGGTGTTGTGGCAGTCATGGGTGACACAGTAATTGGAATGTTCCAGAATTGACCTACATATTATATGAAGTTCAAAAATTAACTTCCTCTATATAGGAAGTCATTATACAGGAAGTCATTATGCGTGTCTGCGGATATTGTGCAAGTCTAGTAGTGTAATCAACATACCATCAGCTCTGAATATGGCTTAATGTTGACAAACATGATAAGGAGAATGTATTGTCGTTATTCGTATTCTGGCACGGACATGACATGCTTGCTGGATCGGCCAGCACTACCTGCTATTATGGGGAAGGGAAGGGAAGGGGTTATTAAGGCACGCCTAGAGAGAGGAAATTAGCATAGCACAGGATGCAGGAAAAGGATGAACTATGGGAAAACTGCAGAGTAGAGGGCTTTATTCTTGGAACATGAGCTATCAGTAAGCATACACCCACCGTTGCACAATCTCATACTCTTGAATAACGAAGCAAAGATTCACCAACTTACCCAGGAGCCCATGAGAAGTAGGTCTCAAGTTGACTCCACGAGAGATGACAAACTTGACCATGCTGATGTTTCTGTTCTCCTTGCACAGTATCCACAGGACTAGAGGAGTGTTCTCACAGTTTGGGACTGCAACTCTCACCCCCTGCCGGTGCCTTCTGACTGACACACCGTCCAGACTATACCGACTCGAACTAGAAACGATTCCATCAGCACCCCGAATCACGGGGATGCATTGGGTCTCTAGACTAACTTCAATCTCCACACAGGTGCCCCTGTAATCAACTGCGGTGATTCCTACAGTGTTGATGATATTGCCAGAGAGTGGTGGGGGCATGGCGGTAAAGAGGGCGTTGACTGAAGTGCATCGATCAGATATGAGATTGAAAATTCTGTCTCTTGCTCCGTGGACCTCGAAACATAAATGAGAGGTGTCCCTAGTCGTTAGCTCTGCGGGGGTCATTGATGGGAAATTGAGGGGGACTGTGAATAATGGGTCACCGATGACCGAGTCATTTCTGAGAGTACCTGTGAAGAAAGAGAAGGGAGAGAGAAAGAAGCTATTATGTCAAGCTACAAACTCTAAGGTAAACCAATTTACCACATTCTTCTCTTTGTTGCCCCAGCAACACTTCCTGTGGGCTAACTCTCCAACTGCTGGCAAAGTCCTCCACCTGGAGTGAGTCAATGGATGCTGCCTCAGTGACTCCATCACTGTATACCAATCTCCCGTCGACCGTCCCACATAACCCACATAGACCTGCGTTAGACCAGGTCTCCTCTTCTAACACGAGAACCTCAACTCTGTTGTCTAGTCCAAACGATCGTGTAATCTCTAGCCCCAAGTATTGTAGGACTATGCTGGTACTATAATCTCGCTGGACTATCAAAACTCCACCAGAGTAGAGAGAGTGTGTTCCGTTGAACGATATTGGATCGGAGAAATTTGTCAGCTCTGACATTGAGTTTCTGAGCACTTTTATGATTCTGGTGCGATTTATGTTGACAGCTAGCCCGAGTAGATCCAGGTTACTGGGACTGAAGTCGATAACGACTCTCAGAGAATGTTGGCTGTTGGACTCATGATCACAGGTGGTGAGTAAAACATGTTCGCAGGGGCTGTGGAAGGTAAAGCTGTCCTGTACTGCAGACTGGGAGGGAAACGGTTCGATCACAATCGAATCAAGAGCCTTACACGTCGGGGTTACTGGAACTCCACCTGTAAACAAATACAATGCATACATGACCAATAATAGTAACACATGGAGTCTTCTCCTTGTCAGTGTCTGAAAGAAGACATATTACTACTAACTTCCTCCCACATCAGGGGCAACTGTTTTCTTTTCCTCCTCATAGGTCAGCTTCACAACTTAGGTTCCGTGACTTCCCTCTTTTTAATCTAACTAAAGGTTCCTAAATTCAACCCCTTGGAAGAAAAAACATCCTACATACCAGCTTCATTAGTTACATAAGTTCCCATATTACTTCACCCACTAGAAGAAACCTTCCTCCCAAGTGTTTCTTTCCCCCATATACCAGCTTCACCACTTAGGTTCCTAACTTCACCCCCTCTAAGGTTCTGAACTGAGTGATTTTCTGAGATCTCTTTACCTTCCTCGTCAGTTATTGTAATGACAGGTCCCCCGTCAACTGGAGGGAGGATATTATCGCTGGAGCTAGTGACTACCACAGTAAACTGCTCCGTTTGTTCGTCAATGGAGTCAGGGAAGATGTCCACGTCGATACAGGCTCTGGTCTCCCCGGCTTCAAAGACAAGACTCCTCGGAGTGCTGTCAAAATCAACACCACCTGCACAGACACATTAGGAACACAATCAATGCAAATTGATAAGGTATGTGTGCCATGATTATGTAAATTATACCTATTATTGACAATTAGCGCTCAACTACATAGAGCATGTTGGAACGTTATTTTGGGGGAGGTAAAGATTACCGAGGCTAAAGAGTCACTAGTACAATTATAATATAGAAGTCAGTGTGCTATTATAGTGGCCAATATGTGTGGCTACGTACTACATGCCTTGTGCAGGGGTCATGAAAGGATCGGCATTTCTAGAGAAGGTGACGTGGAGGGAGACTGGGATTTCTGCCACTCTGTCCATCTCCAGACAGACCTCAACTCCTCCTGCAGACTCTGCCACTGTCTTGTTAACCCCCATAATCTGAATCACTGCGTTAGGCAAACATTCATAACTAACATCCCCATATAAATCAAGGGTCCTGTTGTATTTGTCACAAATCTACTTCAACATGTATTGAGGACTTCACATACATACATCATGAAAAGAAGGAAGGTTTCTTGAATTAAGGTATGTTATTCTTACCATCATTGTCTAGTATAGTGACGACAGCACGATCTATGCTCCCAAGATTGATGTACGGTTGGCTAGACACTACGTTCATATCCAAGTCGAAACGCTGCGAGTTTTCGTGTAAGGTGTCATCAATGATGATGCTCAGTTCAGTGCATGAAGTGGTGGCCGAAGCAGGGAGAGTGATGATCACTGGACCACTCTGGAAATCTCTTCCCTCTGTATATACATATATAGCAGAGGAATGATAATGTACACATTCATATATGCATTGATTATGCTATTACAAGTTGCTATAATACTACATTTCCCCCTGAAAGCTGATACTAGCCTAGGAAGCTATATAGCTGAAGGGTGGTTTGGCACACACTATATACAGGAAAACATAGTAGGTGCTATATACCTACAAAGAGATACGATTTGGGTAATGATTTTGTCTGGGTAAACAGCCCTTACAGTGGTTAGAACTTAGAGGTATAAGAACCCAATCTACTCCTGAGTTTCCTAAACCACAGCCCTTGACATTACCAGGCTGAGTCTTAGTGGGTTGAATGTGACATATGTAAAGGCTAAAGGGGGCCCAGTGTAAGAATGCAATTAATCCCGTTTTAGTAAAAGTTCCAAATTTAGCCCCTACATACTGACACGTTCCCTTTCACCTGTGGCTGAAGGAGGGGACGATTCCATAGGAGTGAGCAGGAGAATAATCGGGAAGACGGTCATTCTGTTCTTAGTCACACAGACTGTGAGGCTCTCGTCATCTTCCACAACAGTATAGGCTCCAGTTTCAAACTCAACCACCACAACTGACAGAAATGTGGAGATCAATTATTACAGGAATCATTTTCACAAAGTGCCCACTCACCATCATCATCATTGATATTGACACGGATTCTCTGTCTACCCAAGGCCACTCCATCGTTGCTAGACATTGGCAGTGAGAGCATCACGGAAAAATACTCCTGCCCCTCTAATATACCGTCATCATTCACAGAGATGGCTATTTCCTTCTCAGAGTCCAGTGTGGAGAACACGAGGACTCCACGAAGTGGGTCGTAGTCAACTCCACTTTCAGCTGAGCCCTCGTCATCAGTAGTGAAGGCAACAGTCACTGGCTCAGCGGATGATCCAATCTTTACCACTTTCACCACCACCACCACTCCACTGCCTTCATCTGTACTCACTTCTCCCTCCTCAAACTCAATGGTAACCCCTACAATAAAATCACATTAAACTCCCTGCATTGTACTACTGATTGAGTATATTATTTTCGTTTGGCCTGGGCTTGTACTAACTCATCTAATAATACCCTTGAAGCCAGGATAATTAAAGGCATTTGTTTATTAGCTCTTGTCAGCCATAGTTTTAGTACAGAGCTTTAACTATAGGTTTCTATTACTCACTGTCATTGTCAATGATGACGACGTCAGTGACTGCAGGGGCAATGGACAGCCCCTCAATTACGAGCTCATTCATTAAGTCACTCTCAACAAACACTAAGAGATCCTCGGTCCTCTCCAAGACCCTGTCATCAACTATGTTGATTGTCACACAGAGCCTCTGCAGGCCTGGAGATAACTGGACTTCCCTGCTCACGGGACAAATAGTCTACGTCTTCTGTATAGTCCCACACACACACACACACACATACTCAAATACTAATGTAGCTAAAATGATTCTTTAGTAGAAAGAAAGAAAAAGAAAAATAGTGGATTATGCTTCTCTAGTTTTGCTTATTACGGGTTTTTCTCTTTCTCCCTATAACTTTGTCCACTATAATAAAACATCTCCATGAAAAGCTCATAAGTTGGTGGATTTACCCTCTGCAGTTTGTCCTTCAGTGTAGACAAGAAACGAGAGTGTGTCTGGAACTGGGGAAGAGGCCGTCAGACATATCTCCACCCTCTCCTCTCTCTCTGACACTGCGTACTTGATTGACTCCCATCCAACTCTCAAACCTGCCTCGTCTGTGTGATGAAATTGTAAGTAGATCTGTTTCTTTCGTGGCGAACATAAATCTTACCGTTACTGTCAATGATCTGAACAATTGCAACCGGATTTTCAATCAGTAGGAATTCCGACATGGACGACGTGGCAACGGAAAATATTTCTACTCCTTCGTCAATTGCATCGTTAACGATAGGGACGGTGACAGTGATTAGAGTGTCGTTTGGCCGAATTTCCACAATCTTTACAGTTTTATTGAAATCTTCATCTTCTGTAGGAAAAAAAGAGCATCAAACAATTACATCATGGGTCATGTGACCCAGCTATGAAGTCACGTGAGCTAGTCATGTGACCCAGCTTTATGGTCAGGTGGTATAATCATGTGACCTTGAGCTGTGTTATTGGTGTCAGAGGTGGTGTAGATGACAATTGAATTGTTAATGACAGAGTCTCCCTCCACTGATAGAGTCAGAGTCACATGACCAGCCTCTCTTCAACTGTGTACATGGCTGGCTCAAACATCACCACCAGGACTGCATTGAAAGATAATATAATCTCAGTGGATTTTACAGACCTTGTTACACCTATAATAGTAGTTCTGGAGTTTATTTTGAATCGTTTTAGAAGGAGTTGGTGAAAAATGTGAGGGCCAATCTTAACACTAAAACCCTCTTTGCACCCACGGCTGTTGAAAAATCCCGCCCCTCTCACATATTATACTCACAGTCATTTTCAAGAATGGAGATGGTGGCAGACATAGGTGTCAAGAAACGAAAGATAACCGGCCGGGAGCAGGCAAACGCGAAAGATGGAGGGAGACGAAAAAGGAGGAAGACGAGATTGAATACAAC